CATCTTGTACAGCAATTAACCACTAGGAAGAATGTATGCAATGTATTAATTATTGAAACTGTCCTACCAATTTGATTTGAAACTGTCTCATTGCTATTTGTTTCTCAGTAAAATTATGGAAAAATAAATAAATAAAATTGTCTTCCAAAATTGATGGAGAAGAAACAATAAACACTTCTGTTTTCCTGTGGGCACTAGCTGGGCTGTTCTGGCTTGGGGTGCCTCATAAGGTTTCAGTCAAGTTGGTGATTAGGGCGAGGCTTTGCTTCGAAGGGTCCCATTCACATGGCTAGCAGTTAAATGCTGTCTTTTGGCTTCTGTTCCTGGATGGACCTCTCATTCCACATGCAGCAAGTGATTTGAGAGATAAAGTCAGAAGGCTTAGGGTCTTTTACAGCCTAGCCACCCTTGACCGTTTCTCCAGCATAAGGTCTGTACTGGACTACTACACAACGGTGTGAATACCGGAGAGTGAGAATAAGTAAAGAGAAACTCTTACATCCAGATATATTATAAAGAAACTAGGAAACCACATCAAAGAATCTACAACTAAAGGAATTAACAATATTACAGGGCCATTCCACCAGCAAATCTGAGCTAAAAGAGAAGTGAAGTCATGGTGAAAAGGAAAGATAGTGGGAAAACTGGCAGCATTAACAGATGGGAAGTGTCAGTGTGAGGAGAATTTCTGGTGTAGATGAACTGAAAGAATAGGAGGTGATGATCAAGTGTTGGGATACTTAAAATTGAGAATTAGTATGTGGTGCAGTTATTGATGCTGATAGGCCAAGGACATGATCATACAACGGTGCTGGACTGTGTTGGATTGTTGTGCTGAATTCACACACCTATAGTATTTAGATGCCAATGGAATACTCATTTCTGACAGGACTAAAAAAAGGGGATACAAAGGAAGGACTATTTTGTATCTATATACACAAAATAGTTAGGATAGATATACAGCTACTTAATGAGAAGAAAGATTTGTACTCATATTGTTTGGGCAGGATGTTCTGTCTGCATCTTGTACTATGGATAACCGCTAAGAAGATAACAGTGTACAGTGTATTAATTATTGAAATTGTCCTATTAATCAGTTTTGAAACTCTCATTGACAATTGTTTCTCAATAAAATAAAAATTTTTTTTAAAAATGATCATAGAACAGGATCATGGAATGGTATGCTGGTGTGTGTGTGGTGAGGAGTTCAGAGACCTGAAAGGCCACAGTGCCTAGAGGAGTCATCTGCATAATTTGTTGACATCACCAATAGCAGTGTAGGGGTAGAATGAAAGGTAACAACATTCTGAAGTCCTTGAAAAATGAGGAAGTTGGAGGTCAGTATATAACATCAACGAGGTGCCATAGAAAGTGACAAAAGTCTTTTGGCAAGAAATTAAAATGTATTTAGGTTTTCCAAATTAGAGAAGTTTAGAAAAAGCAAGGAGGAATATTTCTCCTTTACAGGAAATAAAGAGGAGAAGCAGTAATCTCCAAATGAAAGAGGTTCAGGAAGCAGCTAAGACAGAAGCGGAATGTTTCAGGGAGAAAGCTGAGCAATAGAAGAGCTTTAACTGAGTGAAAGTTAGCCATTATTATCATTTTTAATATAGATTTTGTGTGATGCTGTTGTGCCATACTGTTATTTCTAAATGCTTCAGTATACTTTGAAGAGCAAGTATAATTTGTTTTATGTAAAACAGTGCAAGGTTGAGGAGATAGCTCGGTGGTGTAAGCACCTGCCTGGCCAGTGCAAGGGCCTAGATTTGATCCCCAGTACCACATGCCATGCGTGGTGGTGCACACCTGTCATCCCAGCGCTGGGGAGGCTGAGACAGGAGGATTACTATGAGTCTGAGCTGCGTACTGAAACCTTGTACCAAATATATAGACAAGTAAAAGAGCTTATGATAACATCAGAATATTTTCATAGATATTAGAAATTCATTTGTAAATGACCAATATATACTAGGATCTTATTTACTATTGGAAAATATAAAGGCATATTACATATGATACTTCTTCTCAAAGCTTGTGGATTAGCGAACTCAGAGAAATAGAAGTGTGTGGGTGCTTCCTTACACAGCTTTAAGGATTTCCACCCACACACCCCCCTCAGACTATTAGCAGTGGTCACCTCTGAGACAGTGAAGAGAATGTGGGGGCAGGACATTAAGAGGGGCTTTCTAGTTTTAAGTTCTTTAAATGTTTTATTAGAATGTATCATACACTTGCCTAATAAAATATGAAGAAATAATTTGTGGAAATGACATTTTTCTTTGTTATAATTAAAAAGATAAAACGATTTAAGCTTTTTCTTTTTTCTTGTAGGCAGGAATACCAATGGGACCAATGCCAGCAGCAGGAATGCCTTATCTGGGACAAGCACCATTCCTGGGCATGCGGCCTGCAGGCCCACAGTATACTCCAGACATGCAGAAGCAGTTTGCTGAAGAGCAGCAGTAAGAGATCTTCAGGATTCAAGGATATCAGATTCATAATAGCAATTATTTTTATTTCATAAACTGTCAGATGTTCTCTAAATCCATATTTGAAATGAATATAGTGAAGTTGCTTTCAAAACTTTTTTAAATATACCTCTATTAGAAGTTTGGAGCCAAAAGAAACCTTAGAGATCTCCTACTTCAGACCTCTTAACATGTAGGGAAAGTGAGGTTCAGAGAAATAAAGTGACTTGTCAATCCAGGTTACACAGTTGGACCCAAATACAGGCCCCTGATTCTCAGAGCTTTACTTTTTGTCCTGTAGACACTGCCTTCACTAGAAAGCTTTTCATATATGGATGCTGATTTTGTATTTATCTGTCTCACTGTTTTGTTTTGAGATAGGTTCTCACTATGTAATACAGGCTGGCCTTAAACTCGGGATTCTCCTGCCTCAGCCTCCTGAGTATTGGCATTTCAGGCATGCACAATCATGTTCAGCTGCCTCCCAAATCTTGACATTACTTTTCAAGCACTGTTTTCTCCCTTGCAAATTAGATAAGAAATAAATATCTGTGCATAATTTTAATCATTTTAGGCTCATTTCCAATATTTGAGAATTAGTATAGCAAGAAAATAGGTTTTCATAAGAAAAATAGACATAATTAGTAGTGAAGGTTATACTTGTAGAAATGCAAGATGATACTGCTGAAGCTCTTAGAAATCTAAATGTAACAGTTGATCCTTGCAGCTGGATCTTTACTGGATTGCTTTTCCTTCAGAAAACGATTTGAACAACAGCAAAAGCTTTTAGAAGAAGAGAGAAAAAGACGCCAGTTTGAAGAGCAGAAGCAAAAGCTCAGACTTTTGAGTAGTGTGAAACCCAAGGTACTGTGCTCACTACCTCCCCCTCCTAAAGCACACCCCCTAGCTGTGCCTCCTTTCACTCATTCAGTGAATGTGGTCGCTGAGGTGCCAGCCCAAGCTCAGGCTATGATTGCTCTTTTCTCTTTAGTTCTCTCATGACCTAAGAGATAGCTTTTTCTCTTTCTGTAAATATATGCAGTTGATAAAGAATGAGATATCAGCCATTAACCTCTCTTTTCTTTTTTAGTGCCATGGCAAACTTTATAATCTTTTTCTTGGGAAACAGTCTTACATTTAGTGATATGAGGTGGATTTCTGTTGGAACCCTCACCGAACTCTTAATATCTAAAAACTCTCTCCTGAAGTGTTGGCTGTTTTAATATCCTGTATTAGAGAGTCATCTTATGCCTTTGTGTTATATACTTATCAGTGTCTTTCTGACTTGGCAAATTTATCATCAGAAGAATGTAATAAGAATATTGGAAATACACTAATTTGTGCTTTTAATTTGGCAAGGTTTAGGACAAAGTGAGAGATAAGTAAAGAAATATATTTTTGTTGTCTCTTAGACAGGAGAGAAGAGTAGAGATGATGCTTTGGAGGCCATCAAAGGAAACTTAGATGGATTTTCCAGAGATGCTAAGATGCACCCTACTCCTGCATCACACCCCAAGAAACCAGGTAGTTTTAATTTTAAAAGGCATTAAAATGTTTTTCTTAGAAAATGATCTAGAGTCCCTATGTGTTTAATTATGTGAGGAGAATCAGTGCTGAACTTTTCCTTCAATATAAGTACAGATTTAGATGTTTAAAATACATGACTGTAATCTCAGCACTCAGAAAGTTGAGGCAGGAAAATCACTGCAAGACCTCCCTGGGCTACAAAGTGAGCTCAAGGCCAGGCTGAACTGCACAGTGAGACCCTGTCTCAAGAAGGGAAAAAAAAAATCTAGGTGGGATAACAATTATCTTTGGAGGAAAAAAAAAACCTTCTTCTAGTTAAGCATGAGTATAACCATTTCATTTCACTTATAAATCTTCTTTGTATAAATGAGTATGTTAACAATAGAAAAATCTGTTCATGTTTTTAAATTATTTTTATGACCAGTTCAGATCTTATTATTGAATATAATAAAACTTGCAAAAATCTTAAAATGCTTCATTTTTTTCAAAATCAGATTTGATAATGCTCCTCATAAAAATTTAGTTTCTTTAAAAATGTCCTTACAGTTTTTTGTCATCAGGTAAGTAAGAAAAATACTTAGAGCAGGGTAGAAGTGTTTTTGTTTATAGTTATTGTTGAAAGCATTTTGCAGTTGAAATGAGTCTTCTCTGCGTAGCTATTTTTCTATCTTTTTTTAAAAACTCAGTATTTTGACATTTTATTACCAGATAATATTAAGAATAATAAGCCAGTAGCCAGTGAATGTTTTTAAAAATCATTAGTGAATCAAGAAAGTACCATCCTCTGTTGGAAAAGCATTGAATTTTATCTTAAATACTTCTATTATGATACCTCTTATATGTGTTAGGAGGAAATAATTTGATACTGGCATTGTTGCTAATTCTTTATTTTCTGGGACAGCTTTGACTCTGTCCTATTAATTATACTGGTTAGATTATATACTAGATTCCCGTTCCAAAAATAGGCCTAAAGTATACACCAGGATTGAAATGAGAATAAAGCTATCGTGATCAGAAAGGAAAAACATTTCTAAAAATGAAAAGTATAAGCCAAATAAAATTATCAAAAAGTGACTTAAGGGTAGACACTTATGAGTTAATAGTAAACCTGAACTTGGCACTGAACGTAATAAAAGGACAGGAAGCCAGAGAGTTACTATCCTTGTTAGGTCAACTCTGTCGCGTTCATAAAGAATGCTCTTTTCAGCATCCAGCTATATTGACAATGAGAAACACTCATGAGAAATAAATTGGTGTTAAGCAGGCTCGGTGGTGCACACCTGTAATCCCAGCACTTGAGAGGCTGAGGCAGTACCATCACCACTAGTTGAGGCCAGCCTGGGCTACATAGTGAGTTCCAGGACAGCCTGACCCTGTCTTGACCAAAAGAAAGGGTGCGGGGGGTGGGGTGGGGATTGGTGCTTTGAGGTTCAGATCTCCAGAATTCAATAAACATATTTGTAATTTATAATTTCTAGTTAACTACTTCATGCTGAGATAGAAAAAGATTGATTTGAAGATTCCAGAGCCATTCCAGTTAGAGTTTAGACCTAGCCTCAAAGCATATAAAAGAAATCTTCTAACTCCTTTACAAATCAAAGGCACCTTTTAGTTTTCTCTCATAGATCTGTACAATATTTTATCTTAAAATATTGAACGTACAAACAATATTTATCATACTTTTATGTTTCTTATTAGCATAATTGTAAGAGTTTATGAGCCAAAATACATGCCACATAAAATTAACATAATTCCAGCCGATTCTGGACAAATGCAAGGAGTGCTGGTTTAGCATTTGCCGTATAGTGGATTACTAAATATACTTTATATTATTGGAATATAGCATATACTTTCAATTATATTGTAGAATGGACATAGTCCATTTTAAAATATTCATAGTAGGTAAGAACCTAAATTCACAGAGTTTTTAAGCACCATTCAGAAGTGTGAGATTCAGTGTGGCATGGTCTTTTTCAAATCAAATTAATTACAGCAATAATTTTGCTTATTTTATATTTTTCATAGAATTTCAGTACTTCTGGGTTTTATTTCATTGATCTTAACAGTGATAATGAGTATTTAGTAACAATTTTGTACATGATAGGTATTTCTTTAAAAATGCTCCTTGTAACATTAGACTTTAGTAAATCTTTGTGTGTGTATGTGCCAGGGATTAAACTCAGGACCTTGCACTTGCCAAGCAAGCACTTATTCCACTGACCTGTCTCTCCAGCCAGACTTGAGTAAATATTAAAGTAATTCAAAGTAGGTGTGAATGCCGTGCTGGCCCCGCCCCCGGGCACGCTGAGAGAACAGTTGAGACTGAGTTTGATGGCAAGCGTGCTTGTAATTCTAGCTCTTGGGAGGCTGTAAACAGGCAGAACACTAAATAATAAGGTAGTAGTAATGAGCTTTGTGTTAAGTGTAGGCCCTAGGCAGGCATGATGGTACATGCCTGTAATCCAAGCATTCTTTGAGATTGAGCCAGGAAGATCACAAATTTGAGCCTACCCTATGCAATTTAGCAACTTGGCAAGAACCTGTCTCAGAATATTAAAAAGGTGGACAGGGGATTGGGGATGCAGCCCAATGCAGGAACTGTGGGATAATCCCTAGTCCCACCACTAAAGAACATGTCGTCCCTGCAGAGCAGGTTTACTGAAGTGAATCTCATCTGAGTGAGTGTCATGTTTAACAGGAAAAAGCCACAGTGATGTTTATACTATTTAGTGCTAAAATGCTTTTAAGTAGAGTTCTCAATCATGATGGATTTTCTTAAATTGACTATTGAGTTGTTTCATTTATCTCTTTGTGGTATCCATTTTGAGGCTTTTCACAAGAAAATATCACCTTGATAATGTGTTTAATGCTCTTGTGTTTTGTAATATTCATTCCCTACATGATAACTATACGAAAGGACATGGAGCAGCCATGCTATATGGGAAATTACAAGCTTGTGTTGTGCGTTATCACTAAATTTCATACTAAGTAATGAAATGTAAACATCAGAGAATGTATGTGTCCGAAGTATATTCAGCAACGCATCGGTAGGTCTGGTATATGTACGTTGGTTTCAGCAGACATTATCCAGATAAACAGAACATTTAAATTTCAGAAAATTTACCACTGTCCTATAAATTCATTGGTGGGTTTTGGTTAGGAAAATTAGTAGTAACCTAATAAGAAGAAGGAAATACTGAGTTTTACATTTTTGTTTTGAATCAAATGCAAAATAACTATAAAACTTTTTAAAAAGATAAAATTATGTATAAATATCAAAATGATTTGCATGCATTGCATAATTCCACTTGACTATTATTGTTATCCCTTATTCACCTTCACTGGTCATATCTCAATGTGTTCTTGGAGATTGTACTACATCCTAACTTCTTTTTCTCCATTCATTTTCATTTCTGTGTGTTTCATTACCATTTTCCATTTTGCAGATTGTCCCACATCATCTCATTCTACTAAAACTGTTTCCCCATCACCTGCCTTTCTTGATGAAGAAGAATTCAGTGACTTTATGCAGGGGCCTGTTGAGGTTCCCACATGTGGGCCTTCTTCCACAGCCCCGCCCTTTCAGTCTTTCCACCCCACCACCCCACTTGGCCAGTTGCACACACAGAAGGCTGGTGCGCAGCCTCTCCCTCCAGGTCAGATTCCAGTGTCTTTTGCCTTACACGGTATCCTTGGCCAAACTCCTTATTTCTCTGCTGATTCAGCCTCACACCATGTGCAGAAAGCAGGTAACTCCTAGCATTATTATGGAAATGTTCTTACGATATTTTGGGATAATATATTTCTCTCATACAAGTAGAATAACAACAGTGATGTTGGGAAAGAAATACGTATGTGAATATAAGAGTACTGTTCAAGTCTATCAAGGAAGAGAGGAGATCTTAAGTTTCAGAGTCTCCATAGGTCAGAAAAGAATATGATACTTTTTGCTACTAAATTAGAAACATTTAAACCACCTTGTAGCTTTAGAAATAAACTTAATTCTTAAGATGACTCTTTTTTGGAAAATCATCAATACCATTTTTTTTTTTTTTTTTTTTTTTTTTTTTGTGGCCAGCTCAGCCTGGTGGGGGTGGCGCAGCATGTGGTTCCAGGGATTGAACCCTAGTCCCTGCACTTTGCCGGAGCTTGCCTAAGCAGGAGCTTTAGACCACTGAGCTATCTCACCAGCCCCACCATTTTCTAACGAATAAACATACTTCGAAAAGTTTTTTTATGAAGTGCTCTTTATGGTTCCATGACAAAGTCTTGGGAGGCAGAAGCTCAGAATGTTCTTTTACTGTCACTTTGTCCTTGGACAGATCCTTTAAACAGTTGTGTATCACAGTTTTTATCATCCATGAAATAATGGGGCAGCTATACATTCAGGTTTCAAGCACAGTATAGTGCTTGGAAGAATCTGGGCTGTCCTGTAATTAGCCCAGACTTTATCATTCCACAGATGTGGAAATAGACCCAGGTATACTACTGCTGGAGGCCTTCCCAGTAATTATGGAAAGGTCTGTATCTTGTAGATTGCCAGGTTTCTAGTGTAGTACTCATTCCTCTACGCTTTTACCAACTATATAGAATTCGTGAGGATCAGAGTAGATAATTATGTTTAAGTTCTCTGAAACTTTTAGTCTCTCAAGTCCTTTTCAAATGGGTAGTGCTTGGACTATTAAAAGTTTAATAATCAAAGTTTACCTCATATGCGGCAGGCCTTCACCTTAAAATATGGGTGGCAAAGGGATAATTTAAAAGATCAGAGATATGCATTATATATAAGTAATCCTTCATGCTATTTGTTTAGGCCCGCCCTTGGAGGAGAAGCTACTAGTATCTTGTGACCTAAGTACATCTGGGCAGGAACAAACTAAATTAAATACATCTGAAGTTGGGCACAAACCCCTGGTCCCAGTCTCCAGTAAGAACCAGCCCAGTTTAACGGCCAATTATGGGGGTGCTGTAGATGGATGTGTAAGTGGTGCCACCACCACAGAGGCAGAAAAGACTTCAGACCAAAACCTGTCAATTGAAGAGAGTGGTGAGCTCATGAACCATTCAGCAACAATCCGTTTAACCAAACGTCGCTCAACTGCTAACACCTTAAGCATTAATCCTAAAGTGAATGCTGCTTAATTTTGCTAATAAAAAAATTTGCTTAAAATATATTTGATGCAATCCTTTCTCCAATTAACCCCTAAAATTTTGCTCTGAATTCTTATAGCACACTATATTATTCCTTTTCAAAAAAATGATTTTAATAACCACTTTTCTTCATCAGAATCATTCCTGATATGAAATTTACTTTGCTTCTCCCCTCTTCTCCTTATACTTTCTGTTCTTCCATAAAGTTTAAAATTTAAAATGTAACTAGAAGAGTCACCAATGAGAGCATGGTTTCACGCCCCCCGAAATCATATGCATAGTTGCCTGTAAGTTTCCCAGTTTGGGACAGGGGAGGAACTTAGGGGTAGTGCTCTTGTGTAGCACACATGAGATCCTGGGTTCAAGTCCTACTCTAGAAAAAGAAGTGGGGCCGGGGAGATGGCACAGTAGAATAAGCACTTCCCTGGCAAGCGCAAGGGTCTGAGTTCAATCCCTGGTTCTGAAAAAAAAAAAAAAAAAAAAAAAATCCAAATTTTATAAACTCAGTCTGAGCAATGAATTAAAATGTGGGTGTCCTTACGCCAAACTTCTGGATGCTATTTTACTCAACAACAAACCCAACTAAGGTAACAGTGTCATGTCCTGATTTTTTTTTTAAATAAAACTTTGCAAAGCAGCATTATTAAAAGCTGCACATGAAGCGTAGACAGTTAAATTTTTTTTTCAGTTAAATTTTTTTAAGCTATGACTTACTGTATTTTTTCCTTTAATTTATAATACATTTGAAATGATATAAACCTCATGTGATTCAGAATATTGTTTTGGTACATTATAGTTTTTTACTCTTGAAGGCATAGTTACTGCACAAAAGTTATTTAAAAACCAAGTATTTTAGATGTATTGGTGACGTTTTCTAGTGTCTCCAGCCAGAGCTGCTCTTTGTAAAAGCCACGACTCAGTGTGATTTCCCCATCTTCTCCATGGGCCGTGACATGCTTTAATACGCTTTATTTTCTAGGTGTGGGAGTATTTCCCCCACAAGAGCCTGTTCAAACCAGAATGCCTCCCTGGATCTACAATGAGAGCTTGGTTCCAGGTAAAAATCCAAAAAGCTGCTCTGCCCAGAATTCCCAGCTGGACTTTTTGTTTTAAATATTTTATTTTATTTTTTTTTATTTATTTTATTTTTTAATTTTGTGTGTGTGTGTGTGTGTGGCCAGCTCAGCCCACCAGGGGGCGGGGCTGGCTGGCATGTGGTGCTGGGGGATTGAAACGCAGTCCCTGTGCTTTGCTTAGCTTGTTCTAGGTAGGTGCTCCAGACCACCGAGCCATCTCACCAGCCCCTTTTAAATATTTTAGATGTAGTTATATTTAACTATTGTGGTTTTAAAATATATAAAAGGAATTGTCACTTTTTTCTTCAGAAATATAGAAAATTAGATCTGGTGTATGGGACTGTTTCATATATGAAATAATTACATAAATGCAGAAATGTTTTTGTTTTTAGTATTTTGTTGAAATATTTCTAGAGAATTTTTTAAAAATCTTATTTTACTGCTTTTTTGAGACAGAGTCTCAGTGTGTAGTTCTGGCTGACCTTGAACTCATGGCCGTCCTCTTGCCTCAGCCTCCCAAATGCTGGGATTATAGGTAGGTGCCATCGTACCTGGCTATTTCTAGAAGGTGCTTCAAAAGGATATTATCAGCCAAGCTCAGTTGTGCCTGCTTGTAATCCCAGCACTGGGAGGCTAATACAGAACAATTGAAAATTCAAGTCCCGCCTAGACAACTGAGCAAGCACCTCTCTCAAAGTCAAAAATAAAAGGGCCTGAGATTGTAGTTTAATGGCAGGGTGCCCCTGGGTGCAGTCCCCAGTACTACCACCAAAAAACCACATTATCAAATACATATTTCAGAGATTCTTAGTAAAATCAAGATTTATAGGGCTGAGGAAATAGCTCGGTAGAATAATCACTTGCCTGGCAAGTGCAATCCCCAGTACCAAAAAAAAAAAAAAAAAAAAAGATTTATACTAGTATGCTTAATGTAATTTTCTGAATTCTCAATGGTTGATTTATATTTTTACTATTTTTTATGATTTGTCAAGTAAAAGACTAGGTGGCATCTTTTTCTCTTTGGAAGGTAGTGTTAATTTGTTCCTTTATGTGAATTATTACTGTTGAGCCTAAAAAGATTACTAAAATGCATCTGGTGGGCATACTTAATTGGTGGAGAATAGTGTATTTAAGCTATAATTGATATGCAATAGAATGACAATTACAGCAGCATATGCCAATACTGTGACAGCTAAATGTAACTTTCATTAGATCTTGAATTTTGTAAATTGATCGTAGGCTAACGTTATTCTATACTTGATTAAATGAAATTTACGCAAGATTTCTGTAGCTGAATTTATGTTGTTAATATCTATAATCACATATTAAAAGGCTAATTATTCCCCAAAATCATGTGGAATTTCAAAAATTGAACATAAAAATAATAAATTTTATTCTAGCTACCCTTTTACATCTTTCTCTTCAAGCCAAAGTAAAAATAGATTGTAATACATCTTTTAAGTTATTCCATTCTTGTCAGCTTGTATTTATGTTTTCTTCTTCTTTCCAAACATACACGCATACTATACTTTGTGGTCAAAATATATATTCTTCTTGCCATCCTGCTAACCTACAATCCATGTTGGTAATTCCAGATGTAAAGTTTTTGTTATAGACATTCTTCTGTGTTCCATTAATGCTACTCACTTTTATTTCCAACAGCTGCTCTAATTAGGCTTGCCAGATTCAATGTATAAACACATAGGATGCTCCGTTAAATGCAAATTTTAGACACACTGCAAATAGTTGTTTAGTGTAAATATGTCCTATATGGAATTGCTATTCTTCACTTTTTATTGGTATCCATTTCTAGTAGCATTTTCCACTTTATCCTTTGGAGATCTTGTGTTATTATGAAAAAAACTCACCAATACCCCTCCCTGTTTTCAAATGCTGGTTTTATATCCTCACCTTAAATACAATCACATCTTTCTCTGAAGACTGTATTTCAGCTGGCTATATAGTTCAGTGGCACAGCACCTGCCTGACAAACATAAAGTCCTGAGTTCGATTCCCCATACAAAAAAACCCCCACAGACTGTATTTGAAAGCACCTTTTTGTTGTTGTTGTTAATTTTATTGAGAAACAAATAGCAATGAGACAATTTCAAAACCGATTAGTAGAGTTTCAGTAATTAATACATTGCATATTGTTGTCTTCATAGTGTTTATTCACAGTACAAGATGCAGACATGATATCCTGTCCAAACACTATTAGTACAAATCTTTCTTCTCATTGAATTAAGAGCAAGTAGCTATATATCTCTACTATTTTATACATACAAATACAAAAAAGCACTTTCTTAAAAGGTATTTGCTCCCGCAACCTTTAATTCATTGGACCAAGAGAAAGGTGGTATTAGTATAATACTTATTTGCATGGCTACTTGTAAACCTTTTCTACCATCATCACTCTATAAATTCTCCTTTGAAGTTCAAAATACAGTACTGTATCTGCTTGTACCCTCTTCCATCTTAATGTTGTTTTATCCAGAAAAATTAATGAAATTCAAAAACATTGTTACACTCTTCTAGTAGAATTTAAGACCATATATTCCCATCACCCCTAAATTCTCATCTTTACGCCTAAGCTCTGACCTCTCTTTTAAGTTCCATGTTCTAATTGTCTGCTGGGTATTTCCACTGAAATTTCTTCACAGCAAGTTAAACCCTGATATGGTAGGGCATGATGATACATGCCTGTAATCTCAGCACTCAGGAAGCTGAGGCAGAAGGATCAAGTTGGAGGGCTACATAGAAAGTTCAAGGTCAGCCTGGACTGCAGAGTAAAGACCCTTTCTCAAAAAAACCAACACAACAGAAACCAAACTCCCAGATGTGACTTCAGTTCCATTATAGCAATCTGATTATAGATTATTTTTGTATACCAGCAATGATGAAGTACCAATCACTAACAATATATTTATATTTCTCTCCTTTAATAGATGCCTATAAGAAAATTTTAGAAACCACAGTGACTCCAACTGGAATAGATACCGCTAAACTTTATCCCATTCTGATATCATCTGGACTTCCCAGGGAAACTCTGGGACAGATATGGGCCTTAGCTAATCGAACTACGCCTGGCAAACTTACCAAGGAAGAACTTTATACTGTTCTTGCCATGATAGCAGTAACACAGGTAGAAAATATTTAAGTTAGATCAAATAACTTTTAATAATAATTTAAAGAATATGAATCCTTTTTCCCTACAGTCTTACATAAACCCTCATACATTAAATTTTAGATCATTTTTGAGGGGACAGTACTTCAGTTTGATGCACATATTGGCAAATTATTCTGTTGTTTAAAGACTAATATACTGACATTCTCTGGCTTCATTGTATCTGTTTTAAACTTGAATGTTAACAATTTAAGAAATTATTCTGTCATTTAAAGCCCTATTTAGTTCATCCATGCAGTCGTAAGTTAGTCATTAAAATAGTCATATTCAGGGGTGTGGGAGCTTAGCTCAGCTGTTTAAGCACCTGTTCTGGCACACCCAGTCAGGCACAGGGGACCACAGTTTGATCCCCAGCTCCACATGCCTTACCAGGCACGCCCTTAAGGCAGCCTGAGCCAGCCAAAAAAATAAATAAAAATAAAATAGTTACATTCTCAATCTAGTAGCAATTTTTTCTTATATTATGAAGTTAATTTAAATTATGTGATAATAGCAAATTGACCAAACTTGTTAGAAAAAGCAAATGCCAAAGGGCCAGGTATATAGCCCAGCAGGCACAAGTACCTGCCTGGCAAGCGCAAGGTCCTGAGTTAAATTCCCAGTACCAAAAGAAAAGAAAAGAAAAATGTCAGAATTGCTGTGTGTTGACCATTTCTTCGCTTAGTATTAGGTGTACATTATCCTGGATACTTATTTTCTTGTATCAGATTCATGCATTTTGGGAGTCAGAAAGAGAGTCAGTAGAAATAATATGAAAGCTAAATATTTTATGGATAGGCTTCTCTTTACCAGATTTAGATTATGTTCAGCAGACCTCTAAATGTTTGCATTTTCCTCCTGTTCTGTACAGAGAGGCGTTCCTGCCATGAGTCCTGATGCCTTGACTCAGTTCCCAGCGGCTCCTATTCCAACTTTAAGTGGCTTTCCTATGACCCTGCCTGCCCCCGTGAGTCAGCCCACTGTGATGCCTTCAGGGCCTGCAGGCTCCATGCCTCTCAGCCTTGGACAGCCAGTCGTGGGCATTAACCTTGTTGGGCCAGTGGGTGGAGCTGCAGCCTCAGCTTCCAGTGGCTTCATGACCACTTACCCAACAAATCAGGTAAGTGGAAAAACTGTACATATTCTAAATAATCCTTGAAAGTGCATGTGTGGACAGCTTTTCTTCCAGAGACTCATACTGCTTGACTGTGATGAACTCGTGATTTTTATTGAACAGTATTGGGCTGGGAGGGCGGGGGTGTGGCTCAGTGGTATAGCACTTGCCTAGCATGTACTAGGTCCTGAATTCAAACCTCAACACCAGAAAAGTAAGAAAAAGGTATTAAAACAAAATTTATTTTTAAGCATTAAAATCTGAGTTTTAGGTGAAGAATTGTATTGTCGTTTATAGTGTGTTCATTTTAAACATCAAACTAATAAATTTAAATGCTTAGGTTGTATTTTTTGAGGAAACTGCTAACCCCAAAAATTAAAATACTTCAGTTAATTTTTCATTTCTCAGATTAGTAAGAAAGAAAATTTAAATGTAGAATATGTATTATCAGTGAAAATATATGAGGTAAGTGACTAATATACTACAAGTTCACTGGTAACACTTCTTTTTAAGTTGTAAGGATTGAACACAGGGCTTTTTCAGAGCACTATATCCCAAGCCTGATTTTTAATTCGCGTTTTGAGAATGGACTTTTTGTTTCCCAGACTAGACTGAAGTTTGTGATCCTCCTACGTTAGCCTCCCAGAGTGCCTTTTCCGACTAGCAGTCACACTACTGGGAATCTATCCACCAGAAATAGTATCTGGAATTAGCAAGGCTATACCAGGGATATTTGTTGTAACATTGTTGGGGCAAAACTTTGGAAATGACTAAATGGAAAAATGTAAAGTATTAAAATGTGAAATAAGGAAAAAATGTGAAATAAGCTCATCCATGCAGTGGTAAGTTAGTCATTAAAATTGAAATAGGAGGATCACTACAAGTCCGAGTCCAGTCTGTGTAGTGAGACCCTGTACTAAAGTACACACACACACACACACACACACACACACACACACACAAGGCTGTGCTTGGTGGCACGTGCCTATAATCCCAGCACTTGGGAGTTTGGAAACAGGAGGATCACTACAAATCCAGCCTGTGTAGTGACACCCTATAGACCTTGCACTAAAGTACAAACATAAATGAATAAATGAAATAGGCCCACCAGAACTGCATGGATGTCTGTTACACAATTATATATTTTTAAAGTACAGAACAATACAGTAAAAGCTTGTTCTTCTATAAAACAGATGTGTTAACAGTACTCTTTTTCCAGGAGCGTGAGCTTAGGAGTCAGTGTTTTACTGTTTACAAATATATGTAACTGATTATGAGGTGCCTCTGCCACTTTTGTAATTTATAAATATGTATAAAATGTGAATCAACTTTTAAGTAAATGTACAATTTGGCTCCCTTAAATTTCCCTTTTATCCCAAGAATGAATGCTGGCAATAAGCTATACTTTTTTTTCTCTAAATGGGAAATGAGTTAAACCAGTCTTTTCCTCTTGTTATCAGAGTATCTGAAAATGCAAAGCAGGATTCCTACCTTGAGCCCTTGTGTTACTGTTACATCTAAAAGGCATTCTTCTGGGCTGGGTGTAGCTCAGTGCCAGAGCTCTTGCCTGGCCTGCATAGTGCTTTGATTTTGATTCCCTAAGCCTGAAAAAAAGTTCTTAAATGATTAAAAGTAAACTGAGAAATGCAAATGGCACTCTTTGAAGCTGACAGCTTGAGTTGATTGTTTACTTCATGTCAGCTTGATGCTTTCTAAGTAAATGTCTCTCTCATTTAGGTGGGCAAGCCAGAAGATGATGATTTCCAAGATTTTCAAGATGCTTCCAAGTCAGGATCTCTAGATGATTCATTCACTGATTTCCAAGAGGTTCCTGCTTCTTCAAAAACAAGTAATTCTCAGCATACAAACAGGTATAAAAGAGTTGAACATATTTTATACTTACTCTCTTTGGAAAGGAGCATCAGCCTACGCAAAAGTAAGAGGAGTTAAGGCTCTATACGAATATGTTCCCTGATTATTCCTTCTAGTCAGACCTTTGCTCTTTGAACTGTTCTACTCTTTATCCACCTTAAAATGTAGATCCTAACATTTCCTCTCAGTGCACACCTGCTTCTTTTTCTTGTGTCTGTACTGAACATGTATGTATTATAGCTGAGTACATCTGTGCGTGTTCTCGTACTAGATCCAGGACTTCAACTGTTGAAAAGCTTTTTAGGTGGGAGCACACAGTTTCATAATGTACTGAAATGTACTGAAGTTCCACAGAACTCAGAATTTATAACTGCATATTCGTGCGTCATGTTGACATTAGTAGCTTTTAGCCTTCAGATTTCGTTTTCATAGACATTTGTATTTCTCCAAGTAGTAGCTTAACCTTGGGTAACTGAATTGATCATTATGCTATTAACATTTTTTATCTATCTATCTATTTATTTATGGTACTAGGAATTGAACTCAGGACCTTGCACTTGCCAGGCAGATGTTGTGCCACTGAGCTATATCACCAGCCCTAAGTACTTAACTGCTTACATCAGAACGCATTAGCTTTTTGGAAGCAAGATGATTTGGCTTCATTTGGGGATTTGCTTCTGTCAGAAGGCCCACTTCTCAGGTTTCTGCTTTTGCAGTTTTCCTCATCTTCCATTTTAACCAGTGGATTTTTCTTGACCCATGCTTCCCTACATTTCCCCTGAGCTAAGGGATGTGAATGGTAGAGAAGTACAAGCGAGGGAAGCAGATTCTTCTCATGTTGGGAAGGTGTCACATACATGTCAGCGCTCCTCAGGCAAAACGTACAAAGCAGAGACTGCCCAGCACCCCTGCACCAGCACCTGCGTTTTTTAACTCACAGACATGGGATGTTCCTGTCCCAGATCACTTCCCTTGAACAAAATATGTGTGTCCTGCTGACTCCTAACCATTCCATTTTGAATGACAAAAAATATCTCATTCACTGCATAAAATTAAATTCATCATTTTCTACTCAAAGCCAAGTAAAAATTTGTTAAATTATTACTTTCTTTTGTCACTAGTGTCACCAAATCAGAAACATATTATTGCCAAGGATATAGCTCAGTAGCACAAGTGCCTGCCTGGCAAACACAAGGTCCTGAGTTCTGTTCTCAATATATATAACAAGGAAACATTTATTTTTGATTCTTCATCCTTTCTCCTTTATCACCAGCAGCTTCATTGGATCTGCTTGTTATGAAGGAAAGCTTGTGTGTGATCTTGCTCCTCCCTGCTCTGTCTGCTCTTGCTCTTTCTGCACAGTTCATACTGCAACCATGCCACAGCGACCACGTATTAGAGAGAGAGAGAGAGAGAGAGAGAGAGAGAGAGAGAGAGAGAGAGAGACACACCAGGGCCTGGCAAGATAGCTCAGCAGTCTAAAGCAACTGCTTAGGCAAACTTAGGCAAGTGTGTAAGGACCATGTTTGATCCCTGGCAACACATGCCGCACCAGGCCCACGCCCAGGGTGGGCTGAGCCAGCCACAAAAAAAAAAAAAAAAAGACCCAATTGACCATATGCTCACTTTCTCTCGCTCTCTTTTATTTATTAATTTTTTTGTCTTTTCTGAGAGTTTCACTATACAGTTCAAGCTAGTCTTGAACTTACTTTGTAGCCCAAAAGGCCTCAAACTCACAGCAATCCTCTGGCCTCAGCCTCCCTAGTGCTGAAATTACAGGCATGCACCACCTTGCCCCACCAACATATGCTTTGAAGTTTCTGCTCTTTGTATATTCTGTTTTCTCTTTCTAATTAATGCTTGTTCCATTTCAGAAATCAGCTTAAGTTTTTCCTAACCCCTTTCTAGTAGTCCCTATCTCAAGTGAATGAAATGTTCTCCTTCTCTGCTCTCATAGCACCTTTTAATATCAAAGCTCTGAGTATAATTACTGGTTTTCTCGACTTTTTTCTATATACAGTGCTTACCCTATGAAGTGTAATTAGTAAAGCTTTATTGGATGAATATATTATTGTATGGGGAGTGTAAACTGAATTCTTCAAGTTAATGGTGTATTCCTTTGGTGAATATCTTCCTCAGTAGATGAAGTCAAAATTGAGGGAGAAACAAAGCTTTAAGATGCTGGCCAACTTGAGATGTATGGGCTGCTGGTCTTGTTTGGTGTTATCTCCATGTTTACTTTCATATACAACCATTGCAGCCATTTTTAGCATGTTTCTTTTAGAGTTCTGATTCAACTACCTCCATGTTTGTCTTGAATGAAAATATTTTGTTCGTATCTATAAATCCAGACTCATTATTGACTTGTTTATCAAATATATACTTAGTATTTACTGAGTGATACCATATATCATGAGAAATACAGAAGCAGGAACCATTTGCTACTGCAGAGAAACTCAGGTTGTTTTTTTATTTGGTTTTGGTACTAAAGATTGAGCCCAGGGCCTTTACACTGAGCTGTGTGCCAAGACATTTTTTCTGTTTTGTTTTGAAATGGTTTTGGTGAGTTGTTGAGGCAGGTTTTTAGCTGAGGCAGGGTTCCTCCTGCCTCAGCTCCCAGAAAGCTGGGATTAGAGATATGAGCCATTCATATTATCTGGCAATTTATATTATCTGTTAAAGGTCTGCTATTCTTTGTCCTTAAACAGCCCTGTGTTCCTGTGGGTTCTTCATTCTCATATTCAACCAAATGCAGTTTGAAAATATTTGGGAAGGACAGGCCAAACAAATAGCTCAGCGGATTAAAGCGCCTGCAAGCAGGCACAGAGGCAGGGGCTTTGATCCCTGGGCCTGCTGTGCCAGCCTCCCCACCCCCCCAGGGTGCGCGGAGACAGGCATTTGAGACTGGTCATGGTGGCGCGCACCTGTAATCCCAGCTCTTGGTAGGCTGTAAACAGGCAGATTACTACAAGTCTGATCTAGTAGTAAGACCCTGAATACCCTATAGACCCTTCCCTAAAATACAAAAAAAAAAAAAAAATCATGTACAGCAATTAACCACTAGGAAGAGAGTATGCAATGTGTTAATTATTGAAACTGTCCTACCAATTTGATTTGAAACTGTCTCATTGCTATTTGTTTCTGAATAAAATTATGGAAAAAAATGAGTAAAAAACTGCATCTGTAATGCACATGCATACTTTTTCTTTGTTCCATAAGCAGTGCAGCCTAACAAATGTTTATGTGGTATCTACATTGTGTTAGGTGTTAAAGTGAACCTGGAGATGGTTTGAAGTACATGAGAGGATGTGCATAGGTTATATGCAAATGCTAAATTGTTTTATGTGAGAGATTTAAGCATCTGGTATATAGAACATATATATATGCGCAAAAAATGAATTCCTATCACAAATACCTACTGATTAAAAAAAAAAAAAAAACCTAAAAGAGGGCCGGAGGGATAGCTCAGTGGCTTAAGCACTAGCCTGGCAAACACAAGGTCCTCAGTTCAATTGCTGGTATAAAAAAAAAAGTATTTTCTGACAGTACTACAACCCAGGTGTTTGAAGTCAAGATTTCAACAGATTCCTGCTTTTGGGGGGATGCTGAGCTTACCTTTATCTAGCTTTGGGCGATGGCCATCAGTCCTGGGATGACAATGGGAGCCATTGTCGTCATGTAGTGTTGTCCTCCTCTTATAAACATGCGAGTTAGACTGGATTGGGGCCTGCCCTACAGACCTTACTGTGCCATGGTTGAAGCTGTAAACATTGTTTTCAAATAAAAATTCATTTTCATAAGAAAAAACTGAATTCCTCCACGTGTAGTATGATAATCTGTATTCCCTGTTCATGTGAAAAGGAGGTTATTAAATCATGATGTGACTGGCTAAACTAAGTGAAACCACTTTGGGTAGTATTTTAAAGCAGAAAATGGACATTATCTGTCAGAAAAGGTGAAAAAGCAAATAAGATATTAGACTGTGGTCAAGAACATTGTTTGTTGGTGAGAAAATGAGTTTAAGAGGAGCCTTAGTTCAGGAATGCTTTATGATTTGTGCTGAAACCTGTAAAAGCATTTTAGGAGTCAGTGGCATGGTGAGAGGGATTGTTGCTGCTCCCTGGGCATCCCTGCAGCCGCTGTGGCAGTCCTGTTAGGTGCGGAGAGGCGCTGGGGGCTAGAGTTACAGACACTGTACATTGGACGCTTGGAAAAATAGTTGGACTCGGTATTGCCCTAGATATTAGAGAGGAGATGGCGCTTGAGCCTGGTCTTAAAATGTGAAAAGGGGCTTGCAGTACAGCTGCTTGCAGTGGTCTATTTAGAAAGTACTTGCTGTGATCTGGGAGCTAGAGAGCCTAGAGTGACCGGCAAAGCAGGCATAGCAATTGATAGAAAAGTTCCAAAAGGTTTAAGTTATAGGAGCTGGTTGGTTTGTTTTATTTTTACTTAGAGCAGAATATTTCTTTGAAATGTGTGTATTTAGCAGGGTGAGTAACTAAGTAAAACCCTCTACCACAGCCTTATGATCTCAAAACTTTAATGGATACATTAGTGGAAAAGCAAAACACATTTTTGATGACCAGATTCTTAGTCTTTCAATGGAATATAGGTTCATAAATTTTAATACAATATGCCTATATTACTTGAGTATTTTCATTAGTATTAAAGAGTAGAAATAACTTTTCATGCTTAGAATAAGTAATAGCTACTGTATATAACTGGCACAAACACTTTGATGGTAATTAGAGTCTTTTTAAGTAATAAGCTTAGAGAAAGAGCTGGAATGAAACATTCATTTACAGTGTGCATAAAATTATAGTTTGAGCCAGACTTTAAGTGGAATTTTATTTTGTTGATTTCAATCAGCAGTACTTCATTACCCAGATCTTCTAATTTTTCAACTTTATGAATATAATTTTTAAATTAATTCAATTAAATGTCACATTGACTGGGAAGATTGTACCAATGAGCTATAAAAGACTGTGGCTAAAATTAGTCATAGAAAATGAATGCATAGATCATCCATTTTGAGGGATTTTTACCCTTGGATGTTATCTTCTATCATTCTTCACAGTGAGCTGTAGTTTTAATTACTTAAGGAACTTGAGAAACTCCACCTAAAATGTGTAGATGATAACCTGTTAAATTGCCAAGATCAGATATGTAACAGCTGTTTGGTAGTGATTTGAAATTTTAATATTTCATGGCACTAAGTCCTAAAGCACTGTGGACCCGCATTAGCATATATGTGTGAGAGCCTGGCTTTTACCTTGCTTGTAGGCCACTGATAAGAAGATTTAAATGACTGTGGAAAGATTCTTGCTCCAGGGCAAAGATTTCAATAGAAATCCATTTATAGAACTTGTGTGTGTGGTATTGAATGACACAAACTGGCTTTAGGATGTAGTCATTCATATGTAAAGGTTGTTCTTCCAGGAAGCTGCCTGAGTCTGATAAAAGGAAAAAGGAAATAAAAGAGCATTTTTTTCATAGTATGTGTTCAAGCCTTCAAGAATTACTCACACAGATACTACTCATTACACTGTTTTTCTATCCGGTGAAAAATATGTCCACAAGCAATAGTGTCTTTATCTAATTTTGAAATGATTGTTGTTACGCTACAAAAGATAGCTTCTGGAACCACTGATGTGATCCTTGTAAAAATGGAAATTGTATTAACTCTGCTGTTGCTTGTCAGATGTGTGAACTTCTGCCAGTAAGCAATACAATATGATCAAAAGAGAAGAATTTACATGTTGACTTGAGCATCTCCTAAATAGATTTTTTTAATCTTAACTGCTCCACCTCTGTACTCTGAATACACCTTAGCGAAAAATTTATATTAAGGTTAATGTAATTTATTTTAGAATATTGGATTCTTAAAAAGATATTAGAAGGCCAAAACAGGAGGATCACTATGAGTCTGAGTTGCATAGTGAGACCCTGTACCAAATACATAAAATTAAAAAAAAAGATTTTGGATATGCATATTTAGATTCATTCATTGTTAGTTTTACGGACCTTAAGTTAAATTGCAGGAGATTACCATTCTTTAATAATCTATTTCAGAGCCATTTCTAGTCCATTATTTTTACCTTAAAGAATTATGGAAATGACTGCTGCCCTTATTCAGTTAATTAAGAAAGACATTGCTTGCACATTGTTTCAACTTCTGTTTTCAACAAAAATGGTGGTTGATGTGTCCAGTCCTTTGTGGTGTATACAGATAGTTTCTGACTGTTAAGGCAAGGACTCATGGTTTATAATCCCTTTGCCATTTTACCACCTGTTTGATGCTAAGGAAAGGATTGGCTATTCTTATAATTAATGCTTGCTTTTTTTTTCCCTTTAGTACCCCATCTTTGTTGGTACCAGTTACAGGAGCTAAAGCACTGGCTTCAGTGGATAAATATGCAGTGTTTAAAGGAATTGCAGCTGACAAGTCCTCTGAAAATACTACTGCTTTTGGAGGTAAAAACAGTTTGTAAGTTAATAAATCTGTGAATATAATTTTTAATTAAGTTGTATAAGTCTTTAAATGGTAACCTTGTATATGAAATATGTAAAATGCTCATCACATGTTAAGTATGTTTAGTTAATCCACTCTGCCTTACTTCCATGAACAATAGTGTAAAGCTTCCTGCCCATAATTGTCTGTCTTTCCGTCATAGAACCTGGTGACAAATACAGTGCTTTCAGAGAACTTGAACAGACAACTGAAAATAAATCTTTGGGTAAGTTTTCAATTCCTGAAGTAGACACATTATTTCCATTGTTAATAAGAGGAGATTAGCTCAGCAGACTAAAGTGCCTGCTTTGACAAGTGTAGGGACCAAGGTTCGATCCCTGGTCCCGCATGCCGCACGGGCTCTGCCCCCATGGCTCACTGAGCTGGTGACAGAGTCTGGGCATGGTGGTGCATATCTATAATCCCAGCCCTGGGGAGGCTGAAAACAGGAGGATCACTGTCTTAGTTACTCTTCTCTCGTTGCTGGGACAAATACCCGACACACAAAATGAAGGAAGGAAAGGTTTATTTAGCTCACAGTTACTGGAGGCTTCAGTCCATACTCAGCTGGGTCCAATGCAGAGCAGCACAGAGCAGAAAGCGGTGGCGGCAAAGAGCAAGAGTGCAAGGGAGGGGTAGCAGCAGCTCAAGCAGCTAGCTTCTCTTCCCACCTTACATTGTAATGCAAATTACCTGCCCCAGGGTAGGGGAAGTACTCACACCTATGGGTGCTTCCCAGTATTTACCCACCTATGGGTAATCCCAGCAGTACTAAAACCCATAATCCCAGCCTTGGCTCACACATAATCCCATTGGATCATGAGTTAACACAAACTCTAGAAGTCCACACCCCATGACTACATGAGGCTTTGGGGGGACGAGACACAAACCATAACAATCACCATGAGTCTGAGCTGCATAGTGAGACCCTGTACCAAATACACAAATGGAAAAAAAAAAAAAAAAACCCTGTCTCAAAATAAAAATACATAAAAATGATCTGACAGTGAAACTCAGATCTAAGGCCAAGTTTAATATCTAGTACCACCATTACCAAAAAAAAAAAGCCATGAGACGTGATAAAAGTGTTCCAGCTGAGGACTCAACATATGGTATGCATAGCTTTGGTAAAGAGATGCACGTTTAAGTAGGATTTCTTTTCATCAGTAGCACAGGTTTGTATTTCCTCTGCTCTTCATGAACATAAGCTCAAAATCATTTAAAACAAGCCAGTTAGCTGGTCAGGGTGGTTCACGCCAGTGATCTCAGCACATGGGAGGCTGAAGTGGAAAGATTACCTTAAGTTTGAGGCCATCCTTGGCTGCTTCATGAGTTCAAAGCCAGCCTGAACTACATAAGAGATACCCTGTCTCAAAAACTCAAAGAGCAAGGCAGATGTGGTAGTACGTAACTATAATCCCAGGACTCTTTGAGACTGAAGCAGGAGTATCTCAAGCTTGATCCCAACTTGGACAGTTTAGCACCTCGGCAAGACCCTGTCTCAGCATAAATAATTGCAAAATGCCTAGGATGTAGCGAAGTCCCTGGTTAAAAAAAAAAGGGAAGGGTGACCAAAGATAAGTAAGAGGAGGGAAGCAAGACACCATGCTAGTAGTATTTTAACAAGATCTATCGTGTTTGCATGGTGAGAGCTCTGTGGAATACAGGAGCAGCCAACTAGCATTTCGGAACTTCAGGGCCACAGCCAGAACAAAGCAGCATTACAGACAGAAACAGTAGCTGAGGGGTTGGGGAGATGGCTCAGTGGAATAAGCGATTCCCTGGCAAGCGCAAGGGTCTAAGTTCAATCCCTGGTTCCACTAAAAAAAAAAGAAACAGTAGCTGAACATGGTGGCCTGAATATGTGAAGATGCTGACATCAGAGTTTCATCATCCAGAGCTGAGGATGTAGCTCGGTGGTCGTGTACTTGGCTGCTATACAGAAGGCCCTAGATCTGATCCTTCGTATGAGGGAAAAAGAAAAAGGTGTAATTAATCATCTGCTTGCTCATCCAGGAGGAGAGGGCGGTCTGTTCCTGTGTGTTACTCATGTTTGACTTAGTCACCACTGTGCAGAATTGTCAAGGTTGGCTGTGGGCTTTATGGGCACTTGTCATTGTCATCATCTGAGGGCTTTAAAAGAATAGGTGGGAGTATAAAATGATCATCTGAAAGCTATATATATATATATATATATACATATATATATATATAAGCTGAAAGTATTTGTGGTTAAATTGTGCTATAAACTTGATTATAGAGTTTATGTAACACATAGGTCAAATTATGTCCTCCAAAGCTTAACTGTACATGTTATGAAATGTGTATAATGAGGATTTTCTACGGGAACCACAGTACCTTCTATCTTTATGTACCGAATAGTTGGGACGCCCTTCAGCAGTTACTTGTGTCCACCCTTTTGCTTGGGAAAGGTGGATATGTGGGAGTAAGATACTATCTCAGTTTGTCTTCTCTCCTTGCTGGCACAAATACCCAACACCCAAAATGAAGGAAGGAAAGGTTTATTTAGCTCACAGTTACTGGAGATTTCAGTCCCTACTCAGCTGGCTCTAAGGCAGAGCGGCACATGGCAGAGAGCAACCTTTCATGGAGGCAGCAAAGAACAGAGAGCATAGGGAGGGGCTGCAGCTCAGGCAGCTAGCTAGCCTGTCTCTCCTCCTTACCTTGAAATATGAATTATCTGGCCCAGGGCAGGTGCAGTTCCCCACCCCCAATAATCAGTCACAAACTCCAGAAGCTGCCCCATGACTACGTGAGGCTTTGAGGGAACTAGACACAAACCATAACAGATGTGATAGATACTTTACTGCTTAAGCATCTCTAAAAAGGTTATGCCACCTCTTAGGATATTCAGTCCCCTACAGATCTTAGGTTCCACAGATGCTTCCTTGTATTCATCAAAGCCTTTGGCATATAACAGCTGTTTTGTTTTGTTTTTTTTCTTTTCAGTGTCTATATTAGTCACTAGAAATAGAAAGATGAACCACAGAGGAACTTTGATTTGTTTTCGTGTACTCTGAGCAGTGTTGTCATCAATTCTTGGGCCAAGGCAATTCTGGAATAAAGAGCATTGGGGTTCTGTGTAATAGGGTCTCAGTGATCATCATGTATATATTATATCTGTAAAAGAAAGTAGAGAAAGACAGTGGTATCACTGAAATGTCAGCAGTACCTTCGTCTTCCTTTCTTAGGCCTCAACCCCAAATTGTCATTTTTGTTTGCTTGCTTAAGTAGCTAATTTTAGGGCCAGCCAAATAGCTCAGCAGATTAAAGGCCTACAAGCAGGTGCATGGCCCCGCCTCCGGGGTGCGCTGAGCTGGCAATTGAGACTGGGCGTGGTGGCGCGCGTCTGTAATCCCAGCTCTTGGGAGGCTGTAAACAGGCAGATCACTACGAGTCCAGTCTAGTAATGAGACCCTGAACACCCTGAGAGCCTTCCCTAAAATACCAAAAAAAAAAAAAAGAGTAGCTAACTTGGTTCATTGTAGGGGAAAATGTTTCTTCTAAATGGTTTATTGTCTTTTGATACTTGCATTAAAAACACATTGGCTTAGGAGTAAGGATGTAGCTCAGTAGTAGAGCCCCTGCTTAGCACATGTGAGACCGTGGGTTTGATTCCCAGCCCTAGAGAGGGAGGGGAAGAGAGGGGGGAGGAGTTGAAGAGAGGGAAAAGAAAAGAGAAAGGAAACTAGCTTAACTTCAACCAAGTACATTAGTGTTTGGAAATTTAGAAGTTTACAATATTGCATTCAGAGGTATGACTTCCTTAACATTACTGAATGACAGAATTTTACAGTATTTCTGTATTACTACTTGTGCAATTTAAGCTAAAGTTGAAGAGAAAAATGTTTTATGTAAAGAAGAAATATTAATGTTTTAGCAAAAAGTGGTCTTTCTTGAGTTTAAGCCCTGAGAGAGAGAGAGAGAGAGAGAGAGAGAGAGAGGCATAAAAGAATTCACAAATAAACTGAAAAGCTACCCTTGAATTAATATGGGTGCCTTCTGATACGCAGTCGTCAAATGACTGCAACTAATGTACCTGCCAAAAAGAAAAATCCTTTCTTTTGGAATTTATAGACCTACCTTTTCATTTCCTTTTAACCCTTTCACCCAGCTTACATTTCTGATGGAAAAGCTTACAATTCATCAGTAAGTTTAGTGTGCTGTGATTTCTTTTTTAAATTATAACAGAACAAAACTTGTCAATTTCACACTAACTTATCAAAAGTTTAGGCATTAATAAAATTGGCTACTCTATCTTTCATTTACAAAAATAATACATATGCAGTTGTCTAAAGTTCTGTAATATTTAAAAGTTTTACATCTGCATTTCCTACCAATTTGTGAAATTGACTTAGTTTTATTAGTGGTTATGTCTTTAAAACATCAACTACAAGAGACCTCCATGGGGTTCCTCTATCTAAAATTTCCCTAATAATATTAGATAGAGCTCTGTTGATAAGTTTTACTAGTGAATGGTTAAGTATCATATTGGGAATAAAAATCAGCTAATACTGTTTTGAATCTTTTTTTTCATCTGATCAGAGTATATATCACATTACATGAACGATATAAAGCTTATAATACTCAAATGCCAATTTTAACAATTGGATTCTGATTTTAAATTTATTTTTATAGCTCTGTTTCTCAGCTTTGGGAGCAATCTTGTTTTGAAGAAATTAAGATTTGTATTTTAATTTATAAATCTCTAGAAAGGGCAGTAATTTTTAAATAATGGAGTGTTTGGCTTCTCTGCTGCTTTTATTGCCTATTATCACCCAGTAGACAGTACTAGAAAACTAAGATCATCTGCATCCTAACATTACTTGTGAGTGAAAACCTTAGCATAATAATAAAGACTAGACACACTAAGAATCATGGCTCACACTTTTAAGAAAACATGCTTATCAGTACACTTAGATGGACACTTTCGAGAAAGGCCACATGCTTACAGATTTTTTTTTTTTCAATTACATTGTTTTATTTTTTTTTCTTTTTTTTCCTACAGTTTTATTGATAAACATATAGCAATGAGACAGTTTCAAATCAAATCGGAAGTACAGTACATTGTTTTATTTGTTAGTGTGAAGAATGTTTTACTTTTTTTTTTTGTTTTTAGTTTTTGTTTTGGGAGGGGCCATTGGTGCTGGAAATTGTACTTGCCAGGCAGGCGCTATACCATGGAGCTATATCTCTGTCTCAACTGCTTCAAAATGTGTCTTTGTCAGAGTGCTTTGCAAATAAGTAGCTACCTTTTCAAAAATTTTCCTCAAAGTGACCTTCAATTTCAACTGACTGTAGGATGTTTTCTTAGCTGCTTACTAATCAGCAAGTTAACAGAGACATTATATTTCTTGTTGCCACTTGCTAAGTGTTTCCTTGTTACCCAAGCAAGACCATTTAGTATAGTGGCTCATGATTCTTTTTTTGATGTAGGGGAAAGGGGAATTCACTGGATATTATTTGAACCCAAGGCTTTGCCCATTCTACACAAAAGCTCTGTCACTGAGCTACAGCCCTAGTCTCTAACGATTCTTAAAGTATTATTTGTTAGAAGTGTTATACCTCCTGAATATTAGGTACACTGTTTCTCTTAATGCTTCATTGTACCTTGGGTTTTTAAAAATCATGTAAGATGTTTTATCTTTAACAGCCCCTATTTCAACAGGATGTGTGTCTCTCAGGGTCCTCCAACACTTTTCTGTTGTGTACTTGACTGATCAGAGCAGAGGAAGAAAGTCTTGAGGACAGTACATATTTCCCCCCTTGTCACTGTTGTCTGGTAGGATTTAAACCATGATTAAGGTCAAGCCAGGAGGGAAAGCCTATACAATTATACCTGTAATTTTATATACTGTGAATCCTATGGTTTTCAATTTAGCATTTATTTTGTTGGGCTTCTTTGTTTTTTTCAGGAGAGAGCTTTGCAGAATTCAGATCTGCAGGAGCTGATGATGGTTTCACCGATTTTAAAACAGCCGATAGTGTATCACCACTAGAGCCACCAACAAAAGACAAACCTTTTCCAGCGTCCTTCCCCACAGGAACTTTACCACAGAAACCACCACCACAAGTAAAAAATCCTCTGAACTTAGCAGACTTAGATATGTTTTCCTCAGTTAATTCTAGCAGTGAGAAACCATTGTCTTTTTCAGCTGCATTCAGCACATCAAAATCAGTTTCTGCACAGCCTCAGCCAACAGGTTCTGCTGCGGCTATATCAGCACCAACATCAAATAAAAGTTCTACTCTGGCTGATGATTTTGGGGAATTCAACCTTTTTGGGGAATATTCTAGCCCAGCATCTGTTGCGGCACAAGATGACTTTGCAGATTTTATGGCTTTCAGTAATAGTTCTGTGTCATCTGAACAAAAGGCAGATGACAAATATGATGTCCTGAAAGAGGAAGCTAGTCCTGTTCCTCTAGCCAGCAATTTGGGCAGCACAGTGGAGGGCACGCAGAACCCACCTGCTGCTTCTGCCAAGTATGATGTCTTCAAACAACTTTCTCTAGAAGGAGCTGGACTAGGTGTCGAGGAATTGAAAGATAACACTCCTTCTGGAAAAAGTGATGATGATTTTGCTGACTTCCACTCCAGTAAATTTGCTTCCCTGAACTCGGACAAATCCCTGACAGAGAAAACAGTGGCTTTCAGACACACCAAAGAAGACTCTGCTTCAGTGAAGTCCTTGGATCTGCCTTCCATTGGTGGCAGCAGCGTTGGCAAGGAGGACTCTGAAGATGCACTCTCTGTTCAGTTTGACATGAAACTGGCTGATGTGGGAGGAGATCTTAAGCATGGCATGTCTGATAGCTCTTTGGATTTACCAACAGTTAGTGGCCAGCACCCTCCTGCTGCAGGTGAGGAATTGGTGAGATTGCTCTGGTGATGGTGATGGAGATTTCAGAGATGATTCTGTGGGTGTTAACTTACAGAAGAGTAAGGCTCTGGCCCTTTTCCTTTACTGATTTCTCATACTTAACCTCCTTATTGCCAGTCTCTTTGAAGCAGTGTTAAATTTGATTCTGTGGATACTTGGATATACTGATACTGTGACTACTCTGAAACTTAGATTGGATAGCTAAGATATTTTTATTTTTGAAATCCAGTACCAACCTGGTGTTCAGAGGCTCATAGAAACCTACTGCTAAATGAACCTCACATTGCCAGAAATTTTATAAAGACTTTTGCATTTTCAGCAGTGTTTCTTTATTTCTGTGAGCAAAGTCAGTGTTTCCCTCTCCTTTTTTCTTCTCTTGGGTATTTTTAGCAGCTGCCAATGCAGTATTCTGTTATAGAAAATAACTCTGTATTGGGTTGAGAAAGTAAAAATTCTAACCAGTTTTACTGCAGCTTGCCACATCCCCTTCAAAAGAGGAAGAGGGGGAAAGCTTACAGTATTTGTGGATGTTCTCTTGTGTCAGGGTTTGACAAGGAGGTGGGCCTGTGGTGTTAGTGGAATACAGGTAATGTTTTCAGTGTGAATGTTATTACTGGAAGTATTGAGTTTAACGAATCTGTAGATGCTAGTATAAGGTAATACTAACTTTCTGATGAAAAGCTTGAAAACACCTTATTAGGGAGCCCTCTTTAAATTCTGTGTGGATTTATATGTAGCAATTTATTCTCTTGTCCAACTTCCAATCATAGAACTAGATTCCCAAGTGTCCTAAGTTTTGTTTTGTTTTTTAATATGTATATAGAAAGATAAACCTATTTTGTGGCCTTTAATAATGAGAACTATCTCAGTATTACTGTATTATTCTAGGAAGTATATTATGCATCCTAAGGGGTTTTTTTGTTTGTTTTGGTTTTTTTTTACCTGAGAGAGACAGATAAGACACTCCAAGTTTAGAGGTTGAGGCAGAAATTGGGAAGTACAATAGCTTTCACATATATCAAATTGGTGAGTCAGAAAACGAAATTACATCTATCCTTGGGTTATTGAAATGGTGGAGGTTTTCTTAAGCTGGGTGCTAAATCAGGAGCAAGTTAGCAGAGACATTACATGTTTCATGTTGCCACTTGCTAAGGTGTTTTCCAAGCACAGTGGGCTGTCTGAAAAGCTCCTTGTGCCCTTGATTACTTCCTTTTTGAGTTTTTTTATACTCCAGAAAATTTCCTATCTTTTGCTGCTGTTTGTTTGATAGGGCGATTGTTTTCCTTTTTTGTATGAGCTGCTTGAGCCACAACACTTGATTGCAAAGTGCTCTGTTTTCTGAACAACACTCCAATTTTCATTTTTAAAATCTCATAATGTGTATACAAGCCTTTGGACTCTGAAGTTATTAATTAGAAGCTATTTTTCTGAAAACGAATCTATATTCTTTCACAGTGCCAAGCTAGATTCTTTATGAAATGAGTGTAATCTGAGGTGGGGTGTCTTTTTCTCCCCCCACTTTATTGGAGGAGGGGGCTTGGTTTTCTGACTGAGCTTGTTCTAACAGACCTGTTAAAATAATCTGCGTCGTGTTCTCTGTGTATGTGTGGGACATTCCCAGACTGGAACTTGTCGTGTGCAAGCCGCCTCTCTTCAGTGTGAGGATACTCCTAAAAGCAGATTGTTTCCTCCCATTGATGTAAACCTCCTGTCATAAAGGAGCAGTATCCCTTTAGAGCGGTTGTTAAAAGGGATTTTCTGACCAAGGAGCTATACCTGTACTGCTGTGGAGCAAAACTACTGCATAAATGTATTGGAGAGTGTAAATGGCAGGGATTTCCTCACCACAGTGTGGTTTTAATGGGTGCTCCTGTTCACAGTATCTCTTGCTTTCTCAGCGTGAGGGTTAAATGTACATCTTGTGATGGAAACAACAAGTGGACTGATGAAGTGAATAAAACCTAATAGTTTTCTGTCTGTGGGCCTTAATCCTGTGTGGAAACCCTAACTTAACTCTGAAGGGGATACTGTCTCTTTTAACCCTTGCTGTAATTCTTTGTATGAAAGATAGATAGTACTAATAACATTGCCTGATTTCTCTGCATATTATTACATTTAACCCTTTGAGTCCTTGCTGCATATAATTTTGACTAGGCTGCTCTTTCCCCCACTACTAAATTTAATCTCTCTGGCACTGAAGCATCTTGATTTTTCAGTCATGAAGATCATTGGTTTTGTTGGCAGCAAGAGCATACCCTTACCCACCGGTGACATTCTCAAAGGGTTAGCAAGACTTTTGTAGCTACCTACCTGTAAAGTAGCTCTTCATTGACGTTGAAAACTTTGTGTTTTAATCAGCGCCTTAATTTTTGGGGGGCTGCTTTTCTGATGTCTTTTTTTCAATTTAGATATTTTCTGTGTGAATGTGCCTTTTCAAACTTGCTTCGTATATTCCTCTGCCAATACTGATCTGCATGCTTATTCTGATGACTTATTTTCCAGCTCTTCTGTACCACTCTCTTTTGTGATCTGTAAGTCCTGTGTTAATAAATAATTCTTTGGCATATTTTGAAAGTGTGAGGATGTGTGTAATTTGTATTTTTTCAGGGTTAAAGAAATACCTGGCTGGTTTAAAGCAAGTGTGAAGCAATTGGTATCTCTTGAGACTAGGTGATTTTTCCCATTTGTTTTATTTCTTCAAACACCTATCCTAAGAAAGTGGTGGTGTATTTCAAGCTTTGTCCCTTATACTTCCATTGGTGTGAGTCCTTAATGTGGCATTGGGTTGAAATATAACTTTAGGGCTGGGGCTATAGCTCAGTGGTAGAGGGCTTGCTTATGTATAAGGCTCTGGGTTTGATCCCCATTACTATAAAAAGAAAAAGAACTTCAGACCTAAAAAAGCTTACATTAATGTTATAAAAGGACAGAGGAATGTTCTTCACTATAAGAAGGTAGATTGTATTTTATTATGGAGTGCCTATCTCTATTTGTATTACGTTGTGAAGAGAAGGAAGATGTAAGAGTTGAGTACTGGGAAAAGGATACAGTAAAAACTAGATATTTCTAAACTTCACTTAAATCATAATATGGCATTGGGATGGACTTCTGAGTACAGTACATGTGAGCTGAATTTAAATTGATAATGTACGTAATGGAAAGTGCTTGGTTAACCTTAAGCAGGAAGTCGTCAGTACTGCACTTTGAGTTTGAAATTGGCTATGTCATCCAATATTTGTAGAGTATTTTCATTCTGACTTCAGAATGTATGAGAAAACCCCTTGGTTGTTTTTTACTCAGAATATGTAAAGCAAGTTATTAAAACAATTTTAGTTATGTCAGACAAAATAAACTTTAAACTATTTTCATTTTTAAGAAAACTATTTCTAGACAAAAAAAAAAAATAGTCCAAACTTAGAAATTACTATATTTTCTCCATTTTGGAATGTAACACATAGTGCAAAACCTTGGGAATAGTATTGGTTTTTTTTGGGTCAGAAATGCAAAGCAGCAAGCCGGGGAGACGGCTCAGTGGAATAAGCGATTCCCTGGCAAGTGCAAGGGCCTGAGTTCAGTCCCCAGTTCCGCCAAAAAAAAAAAAAAAAAAGCCCTTGGATAAAGGACTATTTTAGTAGTATAAGATTTTTATTATAAGGATCTTAGTTCTTAGTTCTTTATTTTTTAAGAATTTGAGAAAGAAATGAATTCTTTTGAACAATATACCTGAAGGATCACTTTCATATCTGAAATATATCAGAAAGAAAAAAGTTACTCGTTGGGGTTTATATGAACTCTAAGCTGTGCTTGCCGTTCAAATTATAGTGTTTTCCAAGGCATAATGTATTAGAAAGTTGAAAATTAAGTAATACTGGTTTTAAAAACCTTGTATAATGTATTGCATTTTAATTATGATGAGTGCCAGTAACAACTTTGGAAGAAGAACACCTGTTACCTCCATGGAGTGCTAACACCAGCTGCTCTGCATTTAGGCGTTTCCCTGACCACCTGAGACCTCTTTATTTTAGTTCCTTTTTGAGCAGAAGTGGCTATCACAGTATATGAAGAGTATATTTACAATGTGAGCAATTAGTTTTTCCTGGATATCACATATTTTTACAGGTAGTTATAATAGTCTAATACAATGATATAAAGTTTTTTATAATAAAAAGCTAAAGAATTCTGTGCTCATAGGTTCAAACAAAAGAGTTATGTTTTCTCAAGTGTCAAGATATAGAATAGTTAATGGTTGACTTCTGTGTCAGTGCCTGAGGAAAAAAATTAAATAAATATATTTCTGCCCTACAGTCACTCAGGACCTTGTGCTTGCCAGGCAAGTGCTTATTCTACTGAGCTATCTCCCCGGCACTATAGTCACTTTATTGTTCATGTTACAACCTCTGCTAATTTTTAGAAGTAAGGGCTGGAGATACAGCTCAGTGGCGTCAGCACCTACCTGGCAAACACAAGGTCTGAGTTTGATCCCTGGTAAAACAAAACAAAACAACCCTCAGCACAAAATAATTTTTAGAAGTAGCAGATGAGCACCAAAGGAACACTGGTAATCAAAGCTGTGCTAAATCCTAAATTCAAAAAAATGTAATTATTTTATTTATTTCTTGAGGTAAGGTCTCACTGTATATTACCCAGGCTGGTTTCAAACCCCATCCCAGCCTCTAGAGTAGCTAGCACCATAGGCGTGCAACCTAGTTTTTTGTTTGTTTGTTTGTTTTAAACTCATTTATTTAATTTGTTATTTGCCATGCTGCGGAATAAACCCAAGGCCTTTGTGTATAGTTGACAAGAATTTTTACCATTGAGTGATACTATTTTATTTTTTTTTAAAGCTGCTTCTAGCTTTTTTTATTTTTGTGTCCTTTGAGTATTTTTGATAAGTGCTTTCAGAAAATATTGGCTTGATAACATGGAGAACATGAAAGTGTCATATACTGTGCTACAGGAAGGTCTTGGAAAGGCTGCCTTGTGCCTGCTTGGCCAAAAGGCCTCAGGTGAAATTGCTATCTTCTGTGCTCATTTGGGGTCATCTTAATGAGGTTTTTATTTTTTATTTCGGTCAGTCTCACAGTCCTGCTGTCCACCCTAATGTTCTTCCTTGGCCACTTAGCCTCCTTTGACTGAAAATATCTACAGGATTGCCATTTTCCTTTATTGAATTTACACTAACACAGATACCCATAGGTGCTGACAATTAGTGTGAATACAATTTAAACCGTAGCATTATGGGAGTCAGGACAAAAGAAGAATGGAAGGTTTTTGTGCAGATCAGAAAATACTGGAAAGGAATTGTACAACAGCATTCCATGGCTTGTCACACTGTACTGTTGTCACTTTTGTTCCTTGCTTTCACTAGCAACGCTTCAGGTGTTGGGGATTTATAAAACTCAGGAAAATCAGGTTTTATAGTTAATAGGGAATTTTCTGTAAAAGTAGAATAGGCCCACAGGTGGAGAGAAATGGAAATGTACAGATATGTAATGGTTTGCTTTGGTAAGGAAGTCTGGATTAAATCAGTGTTAGAAACCAAAACGTGTTTTTTTAGTCCAATGAACATTGTTACAGCTACTTGAAAATAGTGGAATTTGCACATACATTTCCTTTCTTCTTTCCCTAAATTCCTTCTTGAAAACCCAGTAACTCTGAATCTCTAGACATATACAGCTTTAGAAAATGTTCACAGGAGTGGGGATGACCTTTTGTGTCCTGTAGTAGCCACTCACATTCTTGGAAATACCTTGTTTTCAATGGACAGCATCAATCAAAAGGGCTTTCAATAGAGGTTATGGAAGAGACTGATAGGGCTATTTGCCAGCTTATACAAGAAATTCACGTCTTGATTTGTGATCCATGATGGAAAGCAGATTGTATAGCTTATTCCTTTGCCCTCAGTAATAGGACAGTCCTGGTTGCAAACAAATACATGTGTTAAAGCACATAGTTCTGTGTATTATCTGTGTGCAATTGTGGTTCAACTTAGCACAGCCTAGGAGCTCTCCAGTGGAATTGGAAATGCAACACTGATTCTCTGTTCACGTTACTGCATTCATTTTCCATTTTCTTTTTATTTTTCTCTTGCAATCTTCACAATTCAGCTCTCAAACTGGAAAAAAAAAAAAAAAACCCTCTATTGTAACTTCAGTGATTACAAATGAAGTGTGGGTTATTCTACATCATTTTTCCAGGCCAGTCTTCTGCCACTTATGTTGTAGATATTACATAATCTTTAATATTTTTAAAGGCATCATATAATAATACATATAACTGGACTGCTTAGAAAACATGGAACTGTTAATACAGGAAATGAGAATTTTCTTTAACCTGCTTTCAATGAATTGACAGCCACATTTTTTCTTAGAAAATAGCTTACAATAGCTCAAGGGACTAAAGCACCTGCTTTGGCAGAGCACAGCAACTGGGGTTCAATCCCCAGCGTGTTGTGCCAGCCTCGCTCCCAGGGCGAAAGGAGATGGAGATTGAGACTGGGTGTGGTGGCACGCCTATGATACCAGCGCTTGGGAGGCTGGAAACAGAATTACTACGAGTCTGATCTACATAGTGAGATCCTGTAGACCCTGTCCTAAATACAGGAAAAAGAAAAAGAAAATAGTTTACAAACCTCTATTAAGAAATACTACATTGATATTATTTATAATAGTAAGGTTTAGAATAAGTGTTGTGTAAATGTTCTGCCATATATTGCTTAATCAGTTTTAGCATTTGTATGTTTAAATGCACCTTTTTTCACTGTTAATAGCCAGTAAATGAAATAGTAAATTTAAAACTCAACTTTAAGGCTTAATTTTAATTGAATCTTGTATATTAAGTTTTTGTTTTTGCTTTGGGGAAGGGTCTACAGGGTGTTCAGTGTCTCACTACTAGATCAGACTCGTAGTGATCCACCTGTTTACAGCCTCCCAAGAGCTGGGATTACAAGTGTGTACCACCACTCCCAGTCTCAATCTTAGCACACCCCAGGGACACAGTCTGCACGGCAGACCCCAGGGATGGAACCCTGGTGCTTGTTCCTTGCTTGCAGGTGCTTTAATCTGCTGAGTTGTTTGACTGGCCCTGCTTTTTGTTTTTCTTGAGACAGTTTCACTGTGTAGCTTGGGCTGGCCTCATGCTCTACAGTCCTTGTGCCTCAGCCTCCTGAGTGCTGGGATTTCTGATCTGTACCATTTTACCTGGCTTATATTTACTTTTTTTTTTTTAAGTTTAAAATATTTTATTGCAAGACTTTTGTTTTGTTTTGCTTTAATATTTCATTTGGCCATTTCTGTGAATTGTGCTATTAGGCAAAATATGTGCATAGCATTTTTAATAAAAATATGATTTATGGAAGGCCTGTATAGTTAGAAAAAAGCTTAAAAGTCCTTCAGCAGTGCTAATCCTTACTGCTTTTACTGCCTTTTTACCTGATTATGTGAGTCATTTCAAATTTTTAAAAAAATTTCTTTCCTGTTACATATTTCACAAAAGGGTCTCTTAATTACCATAGCAATTTGACTGCAATGTGTTTGATCTAGAGCTGTCATTTCATTAAATTTATCTTTGGTTTCTAGGAAAATTGCTATCCTCTAATTGGTGAGATCCTGGAAGCAGTTCTATTATTTCCCCAAACAGTTTTCTGGTAGGCTCTAATAAGAGTATCTGTCTTGTGAAACACTTCTGACTGTACTCCTTGAAGCCTAGTCTTGTGTTTAATTGCATGTGTTTCCTGAGTGTCACCTCACTTGATTATGCACACCTGATCCCTTTAAATGGTATGAGAGGGGCTGCAGTAAGAGACTAGGAAAGCATTTTGCCTAAAGTCTAATTTCATTCATCCTAAACTATTAACTTTTCACTTGAATTTTTCCCTTCTGTTGAGTAAGCCATATTTGAAGGGTATCATTTGCACAACAGAATTTTAAAATATACATCATTCAGTAAAAGATACATTTCACTGGTTGGCTTTTCCTAGCATTTTCTTTATTAATTTAGTGACAACAGCATAGAGAAAAGGTTTGGCATATACTGTTAGAAGAGCTAGTCCTACTTTCATGAACTGCAGAATTACCGTGAAAGCAAGAAAAAACTGACCCAGGACTGGTTTGTCTGTCGACTGAGTTATGAAAATCTGGGTCACAAAGCTTTAGAACCCTTCCTTGCAAATAATACATGTGGTAGTCAAAGACATTCAGCCATGTTTCCTCATGCACAGAGACTAAAATGAAATGAATGCTTACCAGCCCAACCAAATGGCAAGTGCTATGGTGAAAGGTGTTTCTCCACACCTGCTACTTTCAGTCTCAGCTGGTTTTACTTTCTGAAAATGAGCAAAAACCTTTTCCCTCCTAACAGCATTAAAGTGATTAATTGGGTTTTTACTTTTACTTTAAAATAAGTTCATTTTAAACCCTGAAGCAGCAGCTAAATGTCAGATTGTGGTGCTGGCAACTGTGTAAACAACCACTATCTATCTGTATTAGGCATTGCTCTCTAGGCTCTGAGCTGGCCTTCATGCACATTATCACGGTTGTTTATGCTAGCACCGCCCTCCTAAGTACGAGGTCTTCTCAGTTTACAGATAGGCAAGCCACTTTTTGGAAATAGGAAGAATTTGCCTAGTGTTCATAACTAGGTGGTAAAGTTGAATTCAGATCTAAGTATAAAACCTACGTGCTTTTTGTTTTATGATACCTGTTAAATTATTTAAACATAAATTAAGAATGCTTGTATAATAAGGCTTTTCTTATTTATTTATTTATTTATTTTGGTAGAGCTGGGGATTGAACTCAGACCCTTGCGCTTGCCAGGGAAGCGCTTATTCTACTGAGCTGTCTCCCTGGCCCCTATTTTTTTTTTTTTTCTTTTTTAATGTATTTGGTACAGGGTCTCACTACACAGCTGGGACTTTGCTTTAACCTCCCCAGCGCTGGGATTACATATGTGCACCACCATGCTCAGTCTCTGGGGCCTGCTCAGTGTGCTTGGGGGCAGGTTTGGCGCAGCATGTGGTGCTGGGAATCGAACACTGGTTCCTGTACTTGCCTAAGCAGGTGCTTAGTCCACTGAGCTGTCTCGCCAGCCCAAGGCTTTTCTTTTTTAAAAAATGTTATTTCATAACAGTTTTTAAGTGGGGTTTCTCTTCTAGAAGTGTTCTTTTTTTAAATGGGGGGGTGCATAGTTGAAGCAAAAACAGGTGCCTAATAAGTCCAAGACCTTTACTTCTTTTTTTTTTTAAGGGCTACAATAGGTTAGATTAATTTTTCTTTCCTCATACTCCATCACAGCAATATGACGTCCAAATTGACCAAAATAACTAGGTAAGTAATTGCTTGATTAAAATCTCATATTTGGCCTTGACTGAGACAAGCTTCCTAATGACTTTATTAACAGTTAAGTGACATCATTTATATTTCAGTTTTGAGTAGCTGTCAATTTTTAATTAGTTTGTCTTATATACATTCATGCAATCATGCCTTAAAGAAATATTTTCCAACCACATCCAGAGAAAAGAAGACATGTTTTAGGTAGGAAATATGTAAGTACATTTATAAAGGAGCAATTTATGAAATGACCTTAGTCTGAAAGGCATATACCTTGGTAGATAAACATCCTATCTTTCTTGATAATGTTTATATATGAAGAAAATAAGTCTTTATAACTAAATGCCAATTCAATGTTAAGATCAGATGTTATAGCCTAACTTCTTTAATTTTGGTAGAAGCTCTAAATTTAGTTACTCCAGTATACCATAAAACTAATCAAATGTGTTAGGCCTTTTGCCTAAATTATCAGCTTGCCTCTAATTTTGGGGTCTTATTTCCCTTTCAGATATAGAGGACTTAAAATATGCTGCTTTTGGAAGCTACAGTAGCAATTTTGCCATGAGCTATGACTGGTCAGACAGGGACGATGCATCTCAGGGCAGAAAACTCTCTCCATTTGTCCTCTCAGCAGGAAGTGGATCCTCCTCAGCTGCCTCAGTTCTTCGAAAGAAAGAAACATCTTTTGGCAGTTCTGAAAACATCACCCTGACGTCTCTCTCCAAAGTAACTGCCTTTGTAAGTGAAGACAGTCTTCCAGAGACTACCTTCCCAGCTTTTGCCAGTTTCACAGACATGGTTCCACAGACCAGTGAGCAAAAGGAACATGAAAGTGGAGACTATAAAGATTTTACAAGACAGGACCTGTCCGCAGCAGAACAGAGCCAGGAGGTCATGTGTCCAAGCCCAGCTTCCAGTGGGGCCTCTCTTGAAACCCCCAAAGAATGTTCAGATGACTTCGGAGAGTTTCAAAGTGAAAAGCCCAAAATCAGCAAATTTGACTTTTTAGTAGCCAATTCACAAAGCAAAATGAAGTCCAGTGAAGAAATGATCAAAAGTGAGCTAGCAACCTTTGACCTTTCTGTTCAAGGTAAGTAGTGTCAAGGTAGACTTTACTACTATAGATTCTTGTAGAAATCCTTAAAATGTTGACTGCTGCCTTAGCAGGAAGTAGAGTTTTCCATCTTTTGGAATCAGGATCAATGACAGATGACTGAATTGAGGCCAAATCAGTATGTCTTAGACAACCACTTTTGGAGTAACTATAAATATATAGCATAAGTTTATGGACTTGTTTGATCAGAATAAAAAACAGACTAAGCCAGAGTTCTTGATGCACACCTACAACCCCAGCATTCTGGAAGGCTGAGGCAAGAGAATCATAAGTTCAAGCCCAGCCTGTGCAACTTAATGAGCCCCTATCTCAAAACAAAAGGTACTGGGGATATAGCTCAGTGCAGATCGTGGGTCTAATCCCTGGTACTTTAAAAAAAAAAAAAAAAAAGCAAACCAGGTGATATCTTTTTTTTTTTTTTTTTTTTTTTTTTTTTTTTTTTTTTATAAAAAGGAAGGAGCCAGCATGATACGACCACAGTTATATCTCTCTCTTCAGACGGTGTCTTAATCCTGAGGCCACGATGTTGAGGCCATGGATCCACATCTGGCCTGCAGATCTGTTTTGATAGATCTATAAAATGTGAAGGCATTGCTAATACTTAACAATTACAAGATTTCAAAACCTTGGTTTCTAGCTTTTCTTGAAAAGTTACAGAGCCCAGCATGGTAGCACATATGTGTAATCCCAGCACTCAGGAGGATGGTTGGGAGTTCAAGACCAGCCTGGGATATAAAGTGAGCTCAAGCCCAGCCTGAAAGGCATAGCCAGACTCTGCCTCTGAAAGACAAAAGAGGAGTCATAGTAGCTGGCAGTCCTAGGCTTCACCCCCATATATTGACAGTCAGTTGCTGCTGAGTATTAACACTCTGCAGAGATAGGCAGACACTCCCAGTTTGCCCCACCCCCCACACCTCTATCTCCAGCTGAACTCATGTCATCTACTATACTTGCCTGTCTCTGAAGACATTTGAGTTTGCCTCTTCTGCTTTAATCCCATCCTGATAGAAGAGATCATGGACTTCACTTGCATTAAGAAAGTCCAAGGCGGCGCCTCTGCTTGAGCTAAGCTCAGTAATCAGAACCTTTCAATGTATCCTCCACTCCTCCCAGGATCACACAAGAGGAGCTTGAGCCTTGGTGATAAAGAAATAAGCCGGTCTTCTCCTTCTCCGGCTCTGGAGCAGCCTTTCAGAGACCGTTCCAACACTCTGAGTGAGAAGCCAGCTCTGCCTGTCATCCGTGACAAGTACAAAGATCTGACTGGAGAGGTGGAGGTGAGCAGGGTCATTTTCTACAAAGCAGCAGGTAAAAGACCAACTGAGTCCTGAAGACTCCAGGAAAAAGTGCTTTCAGTTTTCATTTGGGGAAGTGGTGGGGAATGGGCACAGGCACCAGACACAAAAGAAAATTGAAATGAGAGACTGACAACACTAGCTGTAGGTGAACACACTTCTCAGATGTGCCTTCCACTGACACAGTCAGAGACCCTAAATCTGAAAGTATTCATGGGATTTCAAGAAGGATATTTGGAGGATAAACTAGGATTCTGAGTGCCTGATGTTGTCTAAGTACCGTGTGCAAATCGATTGTGCCCCTGGAGCACCTTGTCACTCTGCTGCATGTGGACACATCAGAATGTGAGACGGAAAATGTTCTGCATCTTCTGTTTCTGTTTGCTAAGTCTTAGTCCTGTGTTATCTTCCTCGTGTGGCAACACACTTAGCTCTCCTTTCCCTGCTTCTTGCTACGTGTGCATGTTTGCAAGCACACGCACGTGCACATGGAACATTATGGTGGTGGCATGGAAAATCAGTGAATTGACATCACCTCTGGTACTGGACACTTCCACAGCGAGTGACTTTAAGGAAGGATCAACATTATTACTTAGTAGAACACAAAAGACAGTCATTACAAGCTAGATGTGGTGGTGCGCACCTGTAATCCCAGTACTTTAGAGGCTGAGGCGGGAGGAGAACTGTGAGTTCGCGTCCAGCCTGGTATACATGGTGAATTCAAGACCAGCCTGAACCACATAGCAAGACCCTGTCTCAAAAAAAAGATGGTCATTACTGAGAGAAGCTGCCATAAATCATTTTCCTCACATTCGTAGCGTGTGTGCTCAGAAGCCACTTATATTAGTAATTTAAATAATTATCAGTGGGTTCAAAAAACATGTTTATGAGGATGGTTTTAATAAAAAGTCTTCCAAGCTCTTTTTCACTGGTACAAGTCCTAAGTAGAGGATCCTGGGCTGACCTGTTTAATAACCCAGCTCTTTTGATACACTTCACAGGAAAATGAGAGGTACGCATACGAATGGCACAGATGCCTGGGGAGTGCCCTGGCTGTGAGTATGTCACCTTTATGTCCGCACATACACAGATGTTCTTCTCTGTCATTTTGTCTTCTCCTTTTGCATGGACAGAGGCAAACTTGAGGGGAATCTTCTTTCACTGCCCCGTGTAACAGGACAGTCATATCTCCTAAGTAGATTTTCTTTCATGTGTATTATCAAACAGATGAGTTGTCCCCTCAGTCTGTCACTGTGTTTAAGAAATGTCAAAGTGAGGGCTGGCCAAATGGCTCAGTGGACTAAAGCACCTGCAAGCAGGCACAGCGGCCAGGGGTTCATTCCCCCTGCCTACAGTGCCAGCACCACCCCCGGGGCACACTGAGATGGCAGTTGAGACTGGGCGTGGTGGCACACACCTGTAATCCCAGCTCTTGGGAGGCTGTAAACAGGCGTTTCACTAAGAGTCCAATCTAGTAGGGAGATCCTTAACACCCTGTAGACCCTTCCCTAAAATACAAAAAATATATATCAAAGTGTAGCAGGGTATGGTGGCACATGCCTGTAATTCTAGCACTCGGTAGGCTGCGGCAGGAGGATCATTTCAAGTTCAGACCAGCCTGGGCTACAAAGTGAGCTCAAGGCTAGCCTGAACTGCACAAGCAAGACCATCTCAAAAAGACCAAAAAAAAAAAAGATACTACCTCTGGCTAAATGAAAGTATTATTTAAACTGAAAAACTTTTTTCTCTTCCAAAGAAAGAGAGGGTGGTTTCTTCAGGATTAAAACTAGTTTCAGCATAAGCGTATGTACATATCAGTCACTCATGTGGTTTTTCACACTTCCTGACTTTTCTATTGGGTTTGCTACTAATAAGTTGATTTGCAGTGACCATTCTTGGTTATATATGATACAGTTTCATTTCTTATAGGTCATTAAGAAAGCAAATGATACCTTAAATGGAATCAGCAGTAGTGCTGTTTGTACAGAAGTTATTCAGTCAGCCCAAGGCATGGAATATTTATTAGGTATGTTCTTTTATATTTTACATATTAAAAATCATTACTCTTAATTATTCTCAGTTTTCACTGACTTTATAAGACCACAAGATATGTACAGCTCCGCTAAGTAGCACCTGCATTTGCAGAGGAGATAATGAAATGACAGTAACAGCTGTTTGACTTAAGGACTCTATAGCTAAGTGTTCATTCTTCATTAGGTATAATAATAACAGTGTAAATATTATCTGTCCCTGATTCATCAAAGAATCTGAAGTAGTGAGGCATGAAAATCATTTTGTTGCCAGTCAGTTCCTTACTATGCTGTGTGGAGTTTTCTCTGTGCCCTGAACGGCATGCACAGCTTCCTTGACTTGCTGGCCATCTTCATCTGTTCAGCAGCCCAGTCCCACTTGAAGCTTCAGTCTCCGTTCAGCTCAGTGTGCTCCCCTGCCCAAGCTAGGTCTTCCGTGTAGCCAGGCACATGCACTGCAGCCCGATCTCCAGATCCTCACTCAGTTACCACCTTCTCCGTGAAGCTTTCTCTGGCCTTCCTCTTTCTTTACTTTTGTTTTTTGAGACAAGGTCTCTGTGTAATTGAAGCTGGCCTTGAACTGACTGTGATCCAGGCTGGCCTCTGACTCAGGGTAATCCTCCTGCCTGGGCCTCCCAAGTGCTTGGATTACAGGCATGCCCCTCCATGCCCTGCTCTCTGACCTCCCTTTCTCAGCATGCTCCCCTCTCCCTGTGCCTGGCACTTCCATCCCTGACTCTGCTTGGTTATTTCATTGGCCCTGTCATCTTTAATATCATACATGTTTTCTGATGCTTGCTCTTAACTGTCTCCCTCCCTTCACTACAACAGACCTCCAAGTGTTGAGCTTTGTCCCCCGCTGTGCCATGACGCAGCTTCTGTTTGTGGCACACAGAGCACTCAGAGGCTTTGTTGGCTGAGCAGATGAAGGGGCGCTGCCTCTGCCTGACTTGTCCCCTTACTGTATGTCCTCCTTCCCTCTCATGCAAGCAGAAAATTGCACTGCATTAACAGATGACCTCCAGATGTGTGTGTGTTTTCCTCTGGCAAGGTTCCTAGTACTTATGGAAGATTCTCTTAGAAATGCCCTCAGTTCTTAGTTTCTTCCATCCACTTGGAGAAAAGAAGAGAAAAGCATAGTGCTATATGCAAGGCTGATAATGCCCTGAAATTCTCCAGCATTCATTTACAAAGGCTGGGGTGATGTTTCTGGTGGCTGTCACATTACAGGCATTTGGGATGTATTTGGGAGATGTCCTTGGATTGTAGAGGTTTTTGGCACCTCTTTTCCTTGCTTAAAGAGTTGAGCCCCAACTTGAAAACCACAGGAAAAGAACCATCCTGCATCCTGTTAAGTGTACAAAACATAAGTGAAGCCATGAACTTATAAATCCTTGAGGATTCAGAAGGATCAGATACTTCTTTAATTATTCTGTGACAATGTCAACATTTAGATTTTCTTAAACTCATTATTCCCATTCTCAGTAAGCTTACAGGGATTTGCCAGGTTCAAACAGAAACTCATACAGAAACTTGGAAGGAAAAAAAGCTGATAATTTGTACAGTGCCTGCTGTTCTGGCACTGTGCTAAGCCTTTCACAGCACTGACCCACTTGCTCCTTTCATCTACTCTTTGAGGAGATACTGCTATTGTCCCACCTTTACAGCGGAGGAAACTGAGGCCGAGAGGTTATATGATTTGCCCAAGGTTACATGGCTACTAAGAAGTAGGGGAGGAATTTGAATCCAAGTAGTATAAAATCTGTGCTTTCAGCAGTAAGCTATCCTGCAGTACTGACAGGTAACAGACAGGTGGGTTGGTCAAAGAATCGTAGGCTGCCTCTGTCCAGATACTTTCCTTAATTCCAACTGAGAGAGCAGCCAGGAGTAATGCTGCGTTGTTTTGCCCATCTTTTCCTCTACACTTCCAGCGCCTAACTGTACTCTCACCCTTCCAGGCGTTGTTGAGGTGTACAGAGTAACCAAACGTGTGGAGCTGGGGATAAAAGCCACTGCAGTGTGCAGTGAGAAACTCCAGCAGTTGCTGAAGGACATCGATAAAGTTTGGAATAACCTGATTGGCTTCATGTCACTCGCCACACTCACCGTAAGCCTCATAGACTTTTTCTAGAAACCTGCTAGGTTGCAAGGAGCATGTGCTTACAATGGCAGTTACTGAGGGATGATGGAGCCTACTGGATCATTCCTTTGGAAGAAGGCAGTGTGTACATGGGGCCAGGGTGGCTTCTGACTAGATGTGGCATGCACAGTACCTAGATAAGAGGAGAGGACATTTACTCTACCTATATTCTTTTCAATTCATATAGATACATTCAATTAAAAAAAATTGGTTCTATTTTCTCTCTTTGTACTTATAATGATTTGCATTTCTATATATGTTCTTTAAAAAACCTCTATGGAGTCAGGTGTGATGAAGCACATCTACGATCCCAGCATGTGGGTGGCCAAAACCAAAGGATCGCAAGTCTGAGTCTGGTCTGGGCAATGTACTGGGGCAGTCCAGGCTCAAAATAGAAAAGTGAAAGGGGTTGGTGTGTAGTTCAGTGGGAAGGCCCTGAGCTTTGTCCTGTCAGGACAGGACAGAATAGGACAGACTTCATAGGAGCTGGGGGTATAGCTTAGTGGTAGGGCACTTGGCCTAGCATGTGTGAAATCCCCAGGAAAAAAATAAAAAATAGTTCTATTATGTTGCTGTCCTGTAAGTAGCTCATTTCTTTTTCTTTAGGCCTTAAAGTCTTTTCATTTTTTCCTGTTGTAAATAGCCCTACTGTGAATAAACAGGAGGTCAGAGTCTGTGCTTCTTGCATGTGTGTGTATGTAGCTGATACCGCTTCTGTTCCCCCAGTACTGGGAACTGAACCCATGGCTTTCTCACTAAGCTACATCCTCCCCACTACACACTCCTTTTCTCGTAACTTTGAGAGAGGGTCTCATTCAGTTTCCCAGGTCTGACTTGACCCTGTGCTCTTCCTGCCTCAGCCTCAGCTGGGATTTACAGGCATGTGCTACCACACCCAGCTGCCATGCATTTTTAATATGGTTTTCCAGATAGCATTTAATTTCAAGAGACTTGGCAGTGTTTCAAATGATAATTTACTATTTCTGTTTCCATTGTGTGTAAGATGCTCATCTCTTTTGATGATTTAGTCAATGGAATATGGTTACAGACTTTATGTATTTCATATTTTAATATATATATGTATGTGTGCTATTATGTTTATATCTGGTGATACCTTTATTTCATAATAGTCAAAAGTTTATCTTCCTCTCATACCTGGAATAAATATGATACCCCCTTTTAAAAACTATGTTACCTGTCTCAACAAGATTGCACCTCTGAGGGCCGGCCAAATAGCTCAGTGGGTTAAAGCGCCTGCAAGCACACACAGGGGCCCGGGGTTGGATTCCTGGGCCTGCCATGCCGGCCCCGCCCCCGGGGTGTGCTGAGTCAGTGATTGAGACTGGGCGTGGCGGCGCACACCTGTAATCCCAGCTCTTGGGAGGCTGTAAACAGGCGGATCGCTATGAGTCCGATCTAGTATTGAGACCCTAAGCACCCTGTGGACCCTTCCCTAAAATAAAATAAAATAAAATTACAACTCTGGTAGGAATCAATTCTCACTGCTCTGTACCAGAAGCCAGGTGAACATCCAGTTGTCCCAACATGTCTTAATCAGTAAATCTTTTTTTTTATTTTTTTTTATTTTTTTTTTATTTTTCAACAAATAATACACTGCATATATTCTTCTTAGTGGTTAATTGCTGTACAAGATGCGGACTTGTGATCCTATTTACAAACACCATTAGAACAAATCATTCTATTCATTAAGAGAATGCAACTATATATCTATCCCAACCACTTTGAATACACAGATACAAAATGGACATTCATCTGTATACCCCATTTTTTCTAAGTTCCGTTATTGAATATTATAGGTGTGTAAACTCAGCAAAATATTCTAAAAGAGTCCAGTAGCCCATAATAGCATTGGGTCTTCTGTTTAACTGGCAATGTCAGAAATTATTGACCTGAGTCCCCCACAGCTTAACTTAACAGCATGGCTTTATTTCTTATAATTTCGTCTTCATACTTTTCTGCTGGATGGTTAAGACCAAGGTAAAGCAGGACCTATGCAACAAGAGTTGTAGCTTTTTGGTCTGAGAAGGTCAATGAAATGCCCTCTTAATCAGTAAATCTTGCCACCATTGTTACTGCTTCTGACTTACAATATTAAGTTCTTAAAAGAGTTTAATTTCCAGAATCTGCTTTCTTCTTTTGAACTATTTTTTAATTTAAAACCTGAAGTCATACAAATTGGGTAATAATTTTTAAAAATCACTGTTCTGGCCAGTATAGAAAGAGATGGAATATAAACATTTGAAAATAAGACACAAAATTATGTGTATTTGGCTGCTAAAATTCTCCTAGAAGCTGAATTCAGTAGACTGAGTGTATTGGGTTTAGCAAAAAGTCATAGCACCTCTGAATTTAGAGAATTAACAATAGGAAATATAACAAAAATAAAAACCTTTGTTTTTTGTTTTTTGAGTCAGGGTCTCACTATGTAGTGCAGGCAGGCCTTGGACTTGCTTAGGTAGCCCACGCTGGCCTGAACACAGTGATCCTCCTACCTTAACCTCCCACGTGCTGGGATTATAGGTATGCACCACCATACCTGATTAGAAACTTTATCTTTTTATTTTTTGATTGAAAGTTTATGTTTTAACTTGCCAAAATGATAATAGAATTGTGTTTGATGAAATCTGGATTTCTAAATATTCTTTTCATCTTTTTTTTTCAGGATTAATGAGTATTTATAGTGAAACAAAACTACTTTTACTCTGGTACAAGATACTTACCATCACCCTTCACTCACTGGCATAAACCCTCCCCTAGAGATTTCCCTGTGATGGCCTTGCCCAATTTCCTTTCAGTTATACTAACAGCTGATGAAGTTTTCTGTTAGGGGTTTAGTGACATTAAACCACATGGCAGCCTGACAGCTTTACTCTATTGGCATCTTGTTTTCAAGTAGAAAAAGGTGACAAAACTACCAGAGATAGCCCCTATATCTTGTTTCCTCAACCTGTCTGGAGATGGATGGGGTCAGTAAAGCCAAAGAGATGCAAAGGCTTTTGAGAGGGAGCAGGTTGATTTAATGTTAATGAGATAGGGCTAGAGAAATAGCTCAGCAGCCTAAGTGCCTGCCTGGTAAGCACCAGGTCCTGAGTTTGAATGTGAGTTCGAGCCCCCATACCAGAAAAAAAAATGTTAATGAGATACAACTTCACAAGTCTGTCTTGACAAGAACTTCTTAGAAACAAATTTATATCCCACTCTGTTTATATCCTAAGATTATAATTTTAAAACCACCTTACTTTACATTTGGACTTTATTGTCCTTGTTTTGGTGACAGTTCTCTTCACGATTAACACTTTGAAAACTAGATTTTTATACAAATTCTCCAGTCAGCTCCCCCCAACCCCTTTCTTCTGTTGTGGCTGGAAAAAAGGCTGGGCCTGATTGCAGAGAATCTCATGAGCTCTTGGAAGAGAAGGTATCACAGAGGCCAAGTGCATTCATCTGTAGATTAGTGTTTTTCAGCTTGAGGGGAAAGGACAATTGGAGGGAGTCCTGGCCTGAGTTGTGGCCATGCGTTTACTGCGTGAGGTTACTCCTCAGGAGGTGTGGTGGAGGCCCGCTTCCGTCAAGTGCATCTTCACAAACATCCAAGCCCTGTGGCGTTGCAGCTCATGAGGAGGACTTGCCTTTTAGACTCTAGTTGCCTCTGCAGGATTTGTGTGTAGTAGAATATGCATACCATAAGGTTTAAAAACGTCTTAGTTGCACCGTTCCATGAATTTTGTGAGTGGTACTATTAGATGAGCTTTGACAAGGGCATAGCCCCACACAACCCATGCTGTGTGAAAACAGACCATCCCATCATTCCAAAAAATTTGCTTATTCATCTTGTTACTCATAATCCCTGCTGTGAGCTTGTATGCCTTGGGTTAGTTTTGTCAGACTGCCTTACAGAAGCCTTGGAATTGAAGTTTATTATTTTGAAGAAAACCATTTGGGCTTGGGGCCATCTCACCTGGGAAGTGGTGCGCCTGTTTCCATATGGTGGCCGTGACTCCTTTCATGTGTCAGGGAAATGGAGAGAGGGGAAGACAGCGCTCCAGATGCAGGGCGCATCACTGCAGAGGGCTAAGGGGAGCAGAGGACATGGTCTTAGGCTTCAGCTTTTGTCTCCTTAGTGTTTATTTAAGCTGGATGTTAGGCAAAAACTTTTGTGTTCTCTTTTCGGTTTAATGCTCTCTTTGTCAGCGGATGGAAACTCCCTCTTGTGGTAGAAGCATTCATTCCACTGTACACACCCCAGACCGTGCAGGAACGCTGTCTCCAGAGGTAAAGGTGTTATGTAGGAGTGAGATGGGGTGCTGTGGTGTTGGCTCCCCGCGTGAATTGTTACCTAAGCTTTTATCTCGTGGATATGGGTTGAAGTTCAGTGAAATAATTCAGTCCTGGGAAACAAAACTGATCCATTTGTGCCATATAAAACGTAAGAAAAGAGAATGGAGCGTTTTTCACCAGGCCTCTAGTCAACTAGAAATCACAGAAGCTCTTCGATTCCACTGTTGTCTTCAATATAATTCTTTGGCAATCTCTGGAAACAGTGAATTTCACAGTACTTCCTATTGCTATGGCATATCAAGAAAACTTTTTAATGTTAGCAATTTTTCCTCACTTTTTCAGTCTGCACGGTGTTTTGGGGCATCTTTGCTAGGTCTCTGCATGGCTATCCTCAGTTGACAGACAGAAGGTGACTGTGGTAGACAGAAAAATGGCCCCCTTGATGATGCCCATGTCCCCGGACCGTTCATATGTGTTGTTATGGTTGATACATTGTGTCAGCTTGGGAACTTGAGAAGTTTAAGCAATTCAGCAGGGGGCTAGGAGCCTCACTTTGTAAACCTCCGGCCTGTGCAAAGAGGGGCATGAGATGGGGTGATGAGAAGGGCATGAGACTGCACCTGCCCTGGGGATGGCAGCCTGCGTACAACATAAGGGAAGAAGTAAGT